ACACACACACACACACACACACACACACACACACACACACACACACACACACAGAGTCAGGGCAGCCCCACAAGATGCTGCTTAAGAGCACTAGCTACCCTTGGAGAAAACCTGGTTTGGCTCCCAGAATTTATAAGGCAGTTCATAACTACTGGTAAGTCTAGTTTCTGGAGATCCTCATCTGGTCTCTGAAGGTAACAAAGGCATACATGACACATACATACACACATAAACAGACACACGTAAGCTAACATTCACACACATAAACTGGAAAAACCAAAAGTGAAACTAAAACCCCAGAGAAATATGAATAGATACACTAAGAATATACAAACTGACTTAATAGAAAATGAGAAGAATTCAAATTATAATTATTTCTACTCATATAATACTGACAAAAAATTATCACTTGGAAAGCAAATTGAAGAAATAGACAGTAGTTTTTATCTAATTCATTAAAAAAAAAATCCTTCTCTTACAAATCCTATTTATTTAAGTATTCAAATTGAAGTCTCTCCTACAACTCAATATCCAACAGAAAACTAGAGGTGCATATAAGAGAGATGTTATAGGATAAGCTGGTGTTAAATTGAACATTTTGTTTCAAACTGACTGAACAAGTAAGAGAAACAGGAATTTTTTTTTCATACAAGAGGGAAACTTTATGTTCATCAGAAGGCATTCTACTTAATGTCTGAAATAAAATGGTGAAACATTTTCCTCTAACTTTCCTCTTAACACTCAGAAAAAGTTAAACAAACAAACAAAAAAGAAGCACTCAAACTAAAAACATTACAGGAATAAATGGTTCAAGTCAAACCAAGCCCTGAAAAATTAGTCACACCAGAATTATGGTATGGCTAGAGAAAACAAATTAACATCAGAATTCAAAATCATCTTTGGCTACATGATCAGTCAGTCATACTATATGAGATCCCATCTTTAAAAAGTGACTAAAAAATAGAGGGGATTTAAAAAACAGCTTTGGTAGGAGAATATCTGAACTATAGTCCCATGAGTCTTTCTCCTTTACATAAATAGAAGAAGTCTGAAAAGTCATTATTCATTCCACCTTTGCTAAGCATGGAGTGACCGTAGCTGCTCTACAGTGCTTCAGCCTTCCAAATGCCAGGGCATAGAGCGCCTTCCTTGGCAAAGAAGACCCTTCAACAGTGAGTTCTTTGGAGCATAGACCTCACTAGACAAAAAAATCTTCACTATGCAAACAAGTATAGATGAAGTGAGAGCTTTTTGTTTTACATTTTTTAAAGACTGATTCAAATATTCACTGAATTTTTTCTTAAATTTTTGTATTCCATTTGGGAGGGATTTTCTAGGTGTCTGAATGTTTTTCAAGTCTGGTGAGTTAGGAGCAGCACAAGGGAAGAAACTAGACATCTGCTTCTGTCAAGAAGCTTGCACTAACGGTACCTTCAGACTCTTGGGCTGTTGTCGCACTTCCATGACATGTTTTCGCCTTAATTCTCGTTCTCTTCTCTTATTGTATTCCAGCTGGTTAGTGAGCTCAGTCTGATGCTGCAGTCTGATCAACTCACAGCGCATCTTCTGAATAGTGTTGAGGTGGCGAAACTCCAGTTCTTGCATGGATTCATGCTGTCGTAGTAGCATAGCATGTTCCAAGTCCTTCTGAGTCTGTCTTTTGTTTAACTCCTAAAATATAATTCAAAAAACAAAGGTATAATTTATTGCTTTACAAATTGGGGGAGGGGGAGATCAGGACATTAAAAAGCAAACTAACAAAAACACTAAAAAGTGAATGTCGGGGCTGGAGAGATGGCTCAGAGGTTAAGAACACTGGCTGTTCTTCCAAAGGTCCTGAGTTCAATTCCCAGCAACCACATGGTGGCTCACAACCATCTATAATGAGATCTGGTGGCCTATCCTGGTACACAGGCACACATGCAGGCAGAACACTGTATACATAATAAATAAATAATTTAAAAAAAAGTGAATGTCATTAATCGCATGCTTCAATAATGGCTGCAAAATACTAAGTTTCCATTGGTTTTTCTGTTTGTGCGAGTACATAAAAAGAACTCTCCCTCCCACTACACCATAGTTCTGTTTTATAGATTTAATAAGGAGGAGGTAAGTTCTTAATAAAAAACTTCTAATAACATGTAGCACATGGTAGTGTCTAATGTTTCTCTTGCTGGGCATACCTTAATAGCAGAATTAGTTTGACATAGCAGAAGTGGTTTGACATCTGAGGTCAAGTTCAGCTTTGTCCACATATCAAATTTCAGGTCAGCCAGAGCTGTTTTGTGAGACACTGTCTCAAAACTAATATATAATAAACTAAAAATAGTTAAAATTATTCTTTAATTTTTTTTTGTTGTTGTTGTCCAAGCTGGGCAGTGGTGACCCACACCTTTAATCCCAGCACTCGGAGGCAGAGGCAGGTGGATCTGAGATTGAGGACAGCCTGGTCTACAGAGTAAGTTCCAGGATAGCCAGAGCTGTACAGAGAAACCCTATTTCAAAAACCAAAGGTGTTTTTTTTTTGTCCAGTTAAAAGGGAAAGTTGGAGAGATGATTCAATGATTAAAAAGAAGAAAAAGAAAAAAGCACTTCTTGCCCAAGTAAAGGACTTGGGTTCAATCCCCCACACCTGCATGGCAGCTTACAGCCTCCTCCAGTTCCAGGGCATCTGACACCCTCTTCTTCCCTCCAGTCACTGCATACATATGGTGTACATACACTCACGCAGTAAGTACACATATACACATATCAATGGCATCCTTTGCCCTGCAAACTCTCTTCCTAGAGCCCAACAGCTTATTGTATGTTTCTCACCTTTACTTTATTTATTGTGGTATATTCATTTTTAAAAACCAACAAAACATTTCTAATAATCGCATAATATAGGCATATTACCTATTCATTTGATACCCAGATTAGATCAATATGTAAAAACTTTTTCTTTTTATCTTTTTCAAGACAAAATCTTGCCATGTAGCCTAAATTGGCACGAATGAAAATAACTTCTTGTCTCTCCCTCTCAAGTAAGGGGATTACAAGTGTGTGCCACCAGTTGGAGGCAGTGGCAAGCACCTGTAATACAGCACTTGGGAGGCAGAGGCAGGTGGATCTCTGAATTGGAGGCCAGCCTGGTCTACAGAGCGAGTTCCAGGAGAGCCAGGGCTACACAGAGAAACCCTGTCTCGAAAAACAACAACAAACAGCTATAGTTCAATCATTTTTTCAGAGAATGGTACTAACAATGTCCGTTAACAACTAAACCTACATCTAAGACTAGATGTTTAGTTTTTTCTTATCAATATAAGTTTAAATCGAATCATTATAACATTGAATTTAATTTTTTTTTTTTTTTTTTTTTTTGTTAAGACAAGGTCTCACTATGTATCCCTTGGAACTCGAAGATCTGACTGCCTCTACCTCCCAAGCGCTGTGCCAACATGTCTACTTAAGTTAAAATGTCCTTAATCTTTCAAAACATTACCCTAAATTACATTGTGTGCGTGTCTATGTGTAGTATGGGCACTTGGATGCAGCTTCCTGAGACCAGAAGCATCAGATCCCCTTGGAGCTGTAGATACAGACAACTGTAAGGCCCCTAGTGCAAGTACTGAGAAGTGAAGTCTGTCCCGTACAAAGCAGTGTGTGCTTTTATATGCTGAGCCATCTCTCCAGATCCTACTTGTCTTCAGTGAAGGCAGCATTATTCTTTGAAATAAATTTATCTGTGTTGACAGACATCCTGATAACGAGGGGAAAAAACTGACAACAAAACTGGGCTTGGTGGCACAAGCTTTTAACACCAGTACTCAGGTAGCAAGACAAGGAGATCTCACAAGAAACACGAGGGGGTAAGGGTGTCTGCTGTCTAGCCTCAAGTTCAGTGTCGAGGACCAACAAGGGAGAAGGATACAACTAACTCCTACAAGCAGTCCTCTGACCTGTGTATGTGCACGTGTCCACAACCAAAAACAAATAAAAGCATAAAAAAGACTTTTAACAATACTTGTCATATAATAATTAACATGATTATTAAGTGTTAAATGGCTTGTGAGACAGAGGCAGGTGGATCTCTGAATTCAAGGCCAGCCTGGTCTACAAAGCAAGTGCAAGACAAGCTACACAGAAAAACCCTGTCTTGGGAAAAAAGAAAAAGAAAAAAAATGTTAAATGGTACCCATTCTAGATCAGAGAGGTAACAGTTGCCAAATTAATGCTCATATTCAAAAATTAGGTTTTTTGCTATTCACATATTATTGAGTGTCTACTACTGTAGACTAGGTACTGTGCATATGAAGAAATTAACAATGTTGACAGAAGCCAGTTCTAAAAAAAAAAAAAAAAAAAAAGATTTATATATTTTATTATCTATAAAATGTTTTGCCTGCATGTACACCTGCACACCAGAAGAGGGCACTAGATCTCATTACAGATGGTTGTGAGCCACCATGTGGTTGCTGGGAATTGAACTCAGGACCTCTGGAAGAGCAGCCTGTGCTCTTAACCTCTGAGCCATCTCTCCAGCCCTACAAGCCAGTTCTAGTGAGGGAGATAGACACACTGACCTCTAAGATGTGTTTGAGCATGTGTTGTTATGTACTTGAACCTTCAAGTGTACATAAAAGAGAAAAAAAAAGCAAAAGTACTTTTTTTTCCTTCTTTTTCTTTTTGGGTTTCTCCAAGACAGGGTTTCTCTGTGTAGCCTTGGCTGACCTAGACTCACTTTGTAGACCAGGCTGGCCTCGAACTCACAGAGGTCCACCTGCCTCTGCCTCTCTGAGTGTTACGGTTACAGGTGTGCCATGCCTGGCAAAAGCAGAGCACTTATAAAGATTTATTTTCATTTCAGCGCATTGGTGTTTTGCCAGAATATATCTCTGAAGGTGCCAGACTCCCTGGAATTGGAGCTACAGACAACTGTGAGCTGCTGTGTGTGCTGAGAATAAAATCTGGGTCCTCTGGAGAATAGCCAGACCCATCTCTCCAGCCCCAGCAGAGTAGTTTTAGAAGAAGAAGGAACTGGTACACAGAGGAGGTTTTTCTCGGGCACTATGACAGGGAAAAAAAGAGGTCTTGTAAACATCTGTATGATAGTAATTAAGGTAAAGAGAAATACATATACAAAAGCAGAGAATTGGAAGCAACTGAAATTTGCTATTTGGCTTTTCTTTTGAGATAGGGTTTCTCTGTATATAGCCCAGGTTGTCCTGGAACTCACTATGTACTCACTATGTAGACCAGACTGACCTCAATTCAGAAATACACTTGTTTCTGCTTTCTAAATGCTGGAATTAAATTAAATTAAATTAAATTAGTGCCATCACTACTCAGCAAGATTTACAATCTTTAAAAAAGAGACATTGATAAAAAAATTTACTATAACAATCAGGAGGTTGAGATTGAAGTTACCATACTAGTTTAAGAGCAGCTTGACAGAATAGTGAGTTTAGGCCTTGTCTGAAGTGGGGGTGGAGGGTGGGGGATAATGTATTTATTTGTTTTATGTTTCCATCGCTCAAATGTACACACCTCCCTGACAAGGTCCTGCTCCAAGTTATGTCGCCCAAGTAACATTCTTCTCTTGAAGCGACGACACTCTAGCTCCAGATACTGCCTTTGACGTCGAAGAAGGTTAGCTTCTTCTTCTGCCTGAAAATGCTGTATATTCTCCTTCTGCTTTGAAAGCCATTCCTGCTTTTCTTTTTTAGGTGTGCTCTGGTTTTCATTCAGCTCCTGGAAACAAAAACAACCAAAAAATTTCAATTGCACAAAAATTAAGTTTATGACTGTATAATGTAACAGTCACTAAACTAGTAATGATTTGGGTTTCATTACTGCCATTACTATGTAGCTGAGGCTGGTCTTGAACTTACAATACTCCTGCTTTAGCCTCTTTGGTGATAGAATTATATGGGTGTGGCTCCCCATGACTGGCTATGATAAATTTACTTACTTTTTACACTGAAGGGAACTTAATGTAGGGCCTTGAACATGCTGGAAGCTATATCCCTTATCCGTTATATGATGGACTTAAAAGTATTTAATTATATTTCTTCCTAATAAGAGATCACTAGACCTAAGAAAGGTAGGAAATATGCACCTATGCAATCATAATACATAAACAGCTTTAGTTTTGTACAGCTTCATTTTCATGGTTCCTGGCTTTAAAGCACAGAAGAACTGGTTAAGAAAGTAAAACATGAGCTCCAAGATGGCGGCAACAAGTGCACTCCGTTTCTGAAGGGCAGAAGATCCGAAGCTCCAAAACTGGTGAGTGGACAGGCGGCTGAAGCCTGGGCTAGAGGGGACAACCCATGTGCGAGTGAGTTCGCAGGCCCTCTGCACTTCTCACACATGCCTGTGAGTGAGTGCTTTTGCGACAAAGTGAGTACAGAGCCCCAGATTGGGTCCCTCTACACTAGCAGCCAGACACCCCTCCACTGTGGGTAACATAGGGGTCCCTGGGACAGGGTTCTCAACTTTGAAACCCCTGTTCTGTGGGTCCCAGTGGAGTCTAGCCAAACAACTCCTGGAACCAACATGGTGCAGCTCAGGCAGATCTGAGCACTTGGAGCACAATACCAAGACAGGCCTTGGGCCACTGAGCCATTCAGGAGGGCACTTGCGCACATACGCTGCAAACAGCAAAGGGCGCCTACAACACAACCTACGCTTTCGTTCCTCCCTTAGACTCCACCCTTCAACATAGGCACACCTCCAAGCACACTCCTGCGCTTGCGCCTATGACCTTCCTCCCTTAGCTGCATCTGAAACACCCACACCCACTCTCAAACCAGAGGACCTCTCTCTCATCTTCCTGAACAATACTCCAGACTCCAGAGAAAGACAGACCCAGTCTGCAGTGCAGGCTCCAGGAACAAACAACAAAGGCTACTGACTGTCAGATGGCTAGAGGCAGGCATAAGAACACATCCAACAAAAATCAGGACATCATGGCTCTGCCAGCAACACCCCCCCCCCCAATCCCATGGATATTTTAATTCATCAGAAACACAGAAAAATGATTTAAAACCCATGCTTATCCAGTTATTAGAAGCACATAAAGAAGAAATGAACAATAACAACAAAAGATGCCATCATGGAAAGACAGGAATCCACATTAAAACAGATAAAGGAAATGGTGCAAGACATGAAAACAGAATTAGAATCAATAAAGAAAACACAAAACAGAGAAAACCCTGGAGCTGGAGAACTTAAGAGAGGAGATCAGGAACCACAAATATAAGCATCACCAACAGAATACAAGAGGTGAAAGAGAGAATCTCTGGTGCTGAAGATACAACTGCAGAAATTGATACATCTCTCAAAGAAAAAATGAAATTAAAAAAGTAAACACAAAACATCTAAGAAATCAAGGATGTCATGAAAAGATGAAATCTAAGAATAACAGGAATAGACAAAAAAGAAGATTCCAGGCTCCAAGGTCCAGAAAATATTTTCAAGAAAATTATAGAAGAATTTTTTCCCAACTTAAAGAAACAGATGTCCTTAAACATACAAGAGGCTTACAGAACATCAAATAGACTAGACCAGAAAAGAAACTCCTCACATCACATCATAGTCAAAACACTAAATCTACAGAACAAAGAAAAAAATATTAAAAGCAGCAAGGGAAAAAGGCCAAATAACTTACAAAGGAAGACATGAGAATCACACCAGACTTCCCAACAGAAACCATGAAAGCCAGAAGGGCATGGGCAGATGTCATGCAGACACTAAGGGACCACAGATGCCAACCCAGACTACTCTACCCAGCAAAACTTTCAATCAACATAGATGGAGAAAACAAAATTTTCCACGACAAAACTAAACTTAAACAATATTTACACAGCAACCCAGACCTACAGAAGATACTAGAAGGAAAACTCCAAACTATCAAAATCAACTACAGCCAAGAAAACACAGGACATAGATAACCTCACAATAAAAAAAATCAGAAGAAAAGAAAGCATACAAACACACTATCACCACTAACTCCAAAAAAAGGAACTAACATTCTTTGGTTACTATTATCTTTCAACATCAATGGACTCAACTCTCCAATAAAAAGACACAGATTAAGAGAATGGTTACAGAAACGGATACAACATTCTGCTGCATCCAAGAAACACACTTTTGCAACAATAACAGACACTACCCTCACAGTAAAGGGCTGGAAAAACATTTTTCAAGAAAAAGACGCAGAAAACAAGCTGGAGTAGTTATCCTAATATCTAATAAAATAGAGTTCAACCAAAATTAATAAAAAAATGAGGGACACTTAATTCTCAAAAGAAAAATCCACTAGCAGGACATCATAATCCTGAATATCTATGCCCCAAATACAAGAGCACCTGCATTCATAAATGAAACATTATTAAAGCTCAAATCACATATTGATCCTAACACCTTAATAATGGGAGACTTCAACACTCTACTCTCACCAAGGGACAGATCATCAAGACAGAAGCCAAATAGGGAAATAATGACACTTACAGAGGTCCTAACTCAAATGGACCTAACAGATGTCTACAGAACTTTTCACCCAAACTCGAAAGAGTATACCTTCTTCTCAACACCCCATGGAACCTTCTCAAAAATTGACCCTATAGTTGGACACAAAGCAAGTCTCAACAGATACAAGAGGACTGAAATAATCACTTGTATCCTATCAGAACACCATGGGCTAAAACTAGACCTCAACAATAACAGAAATAACGAAAAGCTTACATACACATGGAAACTAAACAATCTCTACTCAATGACAGCTGGATCAAAAAAGAAATAAAAAATTAGAGACTTCCTAAAATTCAATGAAAATGAAGGTACAACTTACCCAAATTTATGGGACACAATGAAAGCAGAGCTAAGAGGAAAGTTCATAGCACTAAGTGCCTTCAGAAAAAAAAGTTTGAGACATCTCATACAAGCAACTTAACAGCACACCTGAAAGCCCTAGAAAAAAAGAAGCAGACACACCCAAGAGGAGTAGACGGTTGGAAATAAACTCAGGGCTAAAGTCAATAAATTAGAAACAAATAAGACAATTCAAAGAATCAATGAAACCAAGAGCTGGTGCTTTAAGAAAACTAACAAGATAGACAAACCTAAGCCAAACTAACTATAAGGCAGAGAGAAACTATCCAAATCAGCAAAATCAGAAATGAAAAAGGAAGACATAACAACAGACACTGAAGAAATTCCAAGAATCATTAGGTCTTACTTCAAAAGCCTATATGGCACAAAAGCTGAAAATCTAAATGAAATGGACAATTTTTTTGATAGATTCCATTTACCAAAGCTAAACCAAGATTAGGTAAAGAGATTAAACAGTCCTATATCCCCCATATAGAAGCAGTTATCAAAATCTACCTGCCAAAAAAAGCCCAGGGCCTGATGGTTTCAGCATAGAATTCTATCAGACCTTCAAAGAGGAGCTAACACCAATACTCTTCAAACTAGTCCACAAAATAGAAACAGAACATTACCAAACTCACTCTATGAGGCCACAGTAACCTTGATACCTAAACCATATAATGACCCAACAAAAAGGGAAAATTTCAGACCTAGCTCTCTTATGAACACTGACGCAAAAAATACTCAATACTCACAAACAGAATCCAAGAGCACATGAAAGATATCATCCACCATGGCCCAGGCATGCAGGGGTAGTTCAATATACGGAAATGCATCAATGTAATCCACCACATAAACAGAAGGAAAAAAAAACAAAAACACACGATCATCTCCTTAGATGCCAAAAAAGCAGTTGACAAAATCCAACGCCCACTCATGTTTAAAGTTTTGGAGAGATCAGAGATACAAGGCACATACCTAAACATAGTAAAGGCAATATACAGCAAGCCTACAGCCAACATCAAACTAAACAGAGAAACCTAAATCAATCCCACTGAAATCAGGGACAAGGCAAGGCTTCCCACTCTCTCTCTATCTCTTCAACATAATATTTTAAGTCCTACTAGAGCGTAAGACAACTAAAGGAGATCAAGGGAATACATACACATTAGAAAGGAAGAAGACAAAGTTTCACTATTCGCAGATGACATGATAGTATACATGAGTGACCCCCAAAATTCTACCAGAGAACTCCTTCAGCTGATAAACACCTTCAGCCAAGTGGCTGTATACAGAATTAACTCAAAAAAATCAATAGTCGGGCTGGAGAGATGGCTCAGAGGTTAAGAGCACTGGCTGCACTTCCGGGTCCTGAGTTCCATTCCCAGCAACCACATGGTGGCTCACAACCATCTATAATGGGATCTGGTGCCCCCTACTGGTGTGCAGGTGTGTATGTATACAGAACTTTGTATACATAATAAATAAATAAATCGTAAAAAAAAAAAAAAAATCAGTAGTCGTCCTGTACACAAAAGACAAAGGGCTGAGAAAGAAATTAGGAAAACAACACCCTTCAAAATAGCCACAAATAACATAAACTACCTTGATGTGACTCTAACCGAGCATGGGAAAATCCTGTATGAAAAAAACTTCAAATCTCTGAAGAAAGAAACTGAAGAAGCTATCAGAAGATGAAAAGATCTCCAATGGTCATGGATCGGTAGGATTAACATAGTGAAAATGACCATCCTACCAAAAGCAATGCACAAATTCAATGCAATTCCCATCAAAATACCAACACAATTCTTTACAGAACTTTAAAGAACAATTCTCAATTTCATATGGAAAAACAAAAAACCCAGAATTGCTAAAATAATCCTGTACAATAACATATCTTCTAGAGGTATCTTCATCCCTGATCTTAAGCTGTACTACAGAGCAACAGTAATAAAAACCGCAAGATACTGGCATAGAAACAAAATGGTGGATCGATAGAATCAAATAGAAGACCCAGAAATAAACCCACACACCTACAGATACATGATTTTTGACAAAGAAGCCAAATGGAAACCATACAATGGAAAAAAGACAGCACCTTCAACAAATGGTGCTGTTCTAACTGGATGTCTACATGTACAAAAATGCAAATAGATCCATACTTACCACACTGGACAAAACTAAAGTCCAAGTGGATCAAAGACCTCAACACAAAATCAGACACACTAAACCTGGGGCCTAATGAAACTGAAAATCTTCTGTAAAGCAAAGGACACTGTTGTCAGAACAAAACGACAGCCTACAGACTGGGAAAGGATCTTCACCAACCCTATATCTTACAGAGGCCTAATATCCAGAATATATAAAGAACTTAAGTTAATCACCAACAAGCCAAGTAATCCAATTTAAAAAATGGGGTGCAGAGCTAAACAGAGAATTCTCAATAGAGGAATAGTGAATGGCAGAAAAACAAAGAAATTATCAATGTCCTTAGTCATCAGGGAAATGCAAATCAAAATGACCCTGAGATTTCACCTTACACCCATCAGAATGGCTAAGATCAAAAACTCAAGTGATAACACATGCTGGAGAGGATGTGGAGAAAGGGGAACCCTCCTCCATTGCTGGTGGGAATGTAAACTTGTACAACCACTTAGGAAATCAATCCGGTGCTTTCTCAGACAATTAGGAATAGTGCTACCTCAAGATCTAGCTATACCACTTCTAGACATATATCCAAAATATGTGCAAGTATACAACAAGGACATTTGTTCAACCATGTTTGTAGCAGCTCTATTTGTAATAGCCAGAATCTGGAAACAACCCAGATGTCCCTCAATGGAGGAATGGATACAGAAATTGTGGTACATCTACACAATGGAATACTACTCAGCAATAAAAAACAAAGAAATCATGAAATTTGCAGGCAAATGGTGGGAACTAGAAAAGATTACCTTGAGTGAGGTAACCCAGAAGCAAAAAGACACACATGGTATATACTCACTCATAAGTGGATATTAGCTATATAATATAGGATAAACATACTAAAACCTATACTCCTAAAAAAGCTAAACAAGGAAGACCCTAGGGAAGATTCTCAATCCTCATTCAGAAGGACAAACACGACAGACATTGGAAGCAGGAGAAGACAGGGAACAGGACAGGAGCTACCACAGAGAGCCTCTGAAAGACTCTACTGATCCAAGATATAGAAGCAGAGGCTGAGACTCAGAGGGAGAGTCAGACCTGGAGGGGACAGGAGCTCCAAAAGGAGACCAACAGAGCCAAAAGAAAAAAAAAAAAAAAGAGGAGAGGGGAGGGGAGGGGAAGGGAGGGGAGGGGAGGGGAGGGGAGGGAATGGAAGCGAAGAATGAGCCCTGGGGCCCCTGCAGAGACTGATACCCCAACCAAGGACCATGCATAGATGAAGACCTAAAACCCTGGCTCAGATGTAGCCCATAGACTCAGTATCCAAATGGGAACCCTAGTAAGTGAAACAGGGGCTTTCTCTAGCAACAACTCAGTAACAGGCTCTTTGACCCCCACCCCTGGGGGGTGCAGCCTTCTCAGGTCACAGAGGAAGACAATGCAACCAGTTCTGATGAGACCTGAAAGGCTAGGGTCAAATAGAGGGGAGGAGGACCTCCCATATCAGTGGACTAGAGGAAGGGCATAGGGGGAGAAGAGGAAGGGAAGGTGGGATTGGGAGGAGACAAGGGAGGGGGCCACAGCCAGGCTACAAATTGAATAAATTGTAATAAATGATAATAATAAAAAAAGAAAAAAGAAAGTAAAACACTTTTTAAAACCTACCAAAAGGAGACGGAAGTGTTACCAAGTAAAAAACAACAACAACAAAAAACATATTTTTAATTTCAATTAAGGGTAAAATATAGTTAAGCATCATTTTAACCCTTTTGATTTTCAAGATTCTCAAACATTCTTTAACGGTACTACATTCATATTGGGCAAAATTGAAAAAAAAAAAAAAAAACCTAATAATACTTTACTCAAAAAGATAAACCCCAAGATGCTAATAATTAATATTGGTATATTTATTTTTAACCTAAAGAGCATTAACACTATACAGAATATCAATCATCTTTCTCAGGTATAAGATTATTATTATTTGAAAACTATAGGACCTTATCTTTCTTTTCCCTGTCATTCAAGAAAGAAATCAATTTTTACACCGTATTTTATGAAGCATGAGATCATATAAAAACAAACAGTATAAAATCTGCAAGTATTTTCTTTTTTTAAGAAAGATTTATTTATTTTATGTATAGGAGTGCTCTGCCTGCATGTACTCCTGAGGATGAAGAGGACATCATACCCCAGTATACACAGTTGGGAGCTACTGTGTAGTTGCTGGGAATTGACAGAGCCTGTGAAAGAGCAGCCAGTGCTCTTAGCCACTGGGCCATCTCCCTAGCCCATGTATTTTCCTGTATCATTTTATTTTTTAAAGATTTATGTATGTATGTATGTATGTATGTATGTATGTATGTATGTATGTATGTATATGAGTGTTCTATCTGCATTTACATCTGCCAGAAGAAGGAATCAGTTCACATTATAGATGGTTGTGAACCACCATGTGGTCGCTGGGAATTGAACTCATGACCTTTGGAAGAGCAGACAGTGCTCTTAACCGTTGAGCCATCTCTCCAGCCCGCTGTATCATTTTTTAGACAGGATATTGCTATAGAGTTCAGGGTGACTTCCTACTCACAACCCTCCCATCTCAGATTCCTGGGTACAAGATTACAGCTGTTCAACACTATGCCTGGATCAAGAAAACGATTCTATTTAGTTACTACTCAACTAGAAAACTAAGTAAATGATAGATGAGTAATCAATTATAATTAATGCCTTCATGTAAGCAGATATATAATTTGTGGCTACAAATAAATCTGTATGCTGTTAAGTATAAAACCATTAAATGCAACTAATAGCAGAAAACATTAAGAATTTTTTTGTAAAAGAAGTACCTCCTTAAGCTGCTCTTTTCGAAGTTTATATTCTCTTTTTTGGGACTCCAAGAAGCTGTTCAGTTCTTTCTTCTGTTGAGCCTGGATGTGTTGCTGAAATTTTTTCTCCTCATTGGCCATTACTTTAGCCTATATATATATAAAAAAAAATTTTTTTAATGACTCAAATTAGTAAAATAGATAAAATCATTTATGTATGTATGGATGGATGGATGTTTTTGAGACAGGGTTTCTCTGTGTAGCCCTGGATGTCCTGGACTCACTCTGTAGACCAGGCTGGCCTTGAACTCGCAGAGATCCACCTGCCTCTGCCTTCCTGAGTGCTGAGATTACCATAAAGTAGATAAGTTTAAAGCATCAGTTTACTATCTATCACTAAGGATAGTTTAAAACAAACAAAGAAAGACAAACAACAAACCACAGAAAACCCAGAAGCATCAAAAAACAACAAAACAACCTAACCAATTTACCCTCTGTTGAATTTCAGAGATCAGTAGGGCTGAATATTTTTTAATTATTTCTTTATTATACAATGTTTTTGCTGGCAGGTGTGACTGCAGGCCACGAGGGAACCAGATCTCATTATAGGTGGTTATGAGATATCATGTTGTTGCTGGGAATTGAACTCAGGAGCTCTGGAAGAACAGGTGGTGCTCTTAACCTTTGAGCCATCTCCCCAGCATCCAAGTAGGGTGAAAAAATTTTTTTCAATGTATTTACTGGATCAAAATGTTTTCCCTGTTTTATTTCATAAGAACATATACTCCCTTCATCAAATAAAAACGAAATATGTATTTATTTTCAAACATATAGTCATAATTTTAAAAATAGTTTTAATTATGTGTGTATATGTGTGTATCTGTCTATGTACAGGTATGCGCTGCCTGCAAAAACCAGAAGAATCAGATCTCCTTTGTACTGAGGTTACTGGTGTTGTGAGTCACCTGATGCGGATGCGAGAAATTGAACTTACGACCGGTGGAGGATATGCTCTGAGCCATCTCTTCTCTCCAGCCCTATAAACTAAGCCTTTTTACCTGAGTTAATTTATATATTAAATAATGAGATACATTTATCTTCAAATTAGATCTTTATCTGTAACTCATATTAAAAGGAGTGTTAAATATTACATGTTAGCTGCTGTAACACTCAGGAGGCAGAGGCAGGCAGATGTCTAGGAGTTCAAGGCCAGCCTGGTCTACAGAGTGAATAACAGGACAGCCAAGGCTACACAGAGAAACCCTGTCTCACAAAAACAAAAACAAACAAACAAACAAAACGTATGACATGAGGAGAGTGTGTTGTCTGAGTATGCATGAATGAGCATGTACAAATGGAGGCCAGAGGTTGATTTTGGGTGTCTTCCTTAATCACTCTTCATATTTTCTGAGACTCACTGAAACAAGAGCTCATCAATTCCGCTAGAGTAGCTGTAACATTCTGCTGCAGAGCCACTGTTCCCTGGATGTACATTTTAAACTTTCATTTTTTCCTGCAGTGCTGGGATAAAATCTTGAGCCTAGTACATATTATGGAAGCCATCTATCACCTGCATTACACTCTATTTCCAGATCTTTTTTTTTTTTTTTTTTTTTTTTTTAAAGTTGAGCCTTAGCCCTTTGAGGCACGAGCCTTTCTTTAACCTAAGCATTTCGAAGGCAGAGGCTGGTGGATCTCTGTGTATTCAAGGCCAGCCTGGTCTACAGAGAGTTCCAGGACAGCCAGGGTTACCAGGAGAAACCTTGTCTTAAAACACACACATGCAAGCACACACGCACAAATTGAGTCTTGCAGTTATGTGCAATGACACCTGGCTTAGCCAATTTTAGTTATTTACTAATTTTTAAAGATGGAGTTTTATTGTGTAGTACTGACTAGACTGGCTGGCCTCAAATTCAGAGGTCTAATCTGTATCCACCCAGCCTGAACAATTTCTTTTCTTTTTTTCTTCTTTTTTTTAAAGACAGGGTTTCTCTGTGAAACAGCCCTGGAGTGTACCACCATGACAGGCCCAAACAAACTATATATATTTTATTTTATTTATTTTTTTTTAGACAAGATTTTCTGTGTAGCCCTAGGTGTCCTTGAACTCACAGAGGTCTGCTGCCTCTACCTCCAAGTCTGGGATTAGAAGTGTGCACCACCACCACTCAGCTTTCCTACATGTCAGTACCTACCACTTCTCAAGGTAGTACTCATTCTCTCACCACCTAAAAGGAATGGAAATATCTGTATATATTTCATAAAACTGTAGCAAAACCAAGTGTTATTTATACTTCAGCATATGCTGTCAATATCCGAATATTCTTTTTGTTTTTTTGGAGAGTGGAAGAAAACCCAGTAGCTGCAAGAAATTTTCAATATAGGTGATTTATCAAAATTCTTAAGATAACCTCAGGATAATGAAACTCTAGAAGATGAATAGACCCATTATGAAACTATGACACTCTCAAATATCAGGGAATGATCCTATGACTACCAGTTCTCAGAACTACTACTTCAAATTAAAACACATCAAATTTTCAGACTCAAAAATGCAGATTCAGCTGGGTGTGGTGCTGCACGCCTTTAGTCCCAGCACTCAGGGAGGCAGAGGCAGGTGGATCTCTGTGACTTCCAGGCCAGCCTGGTCTACAAACTGAGACCAAGACAGCCAGGGCTGTTACACAGAGAAACCCTGTCTGAACATCCCCTCCCAGACCTGCCTACTCCCCCAACCCCGAAACAAAAGCAGTACAGATTCATTTGTAAAACTAGTAAGAGAAAAAATCTTTTAGGAATCTTTTTTTTTTTTTAACAAAAAGTTTTATACGAATTGTATGATTGTATCTCTTTCCTAGATCAACTCACTTAGTTCCTAGACATAGTTACTTTAAACATCAAAATGCTAATCTGGAAATTAATAATATTGAATTGGTTACCTCTTTCTCCATAGCAGCTTGGTGTTTCTTGATAAGTTTCTCCATTTCTGCAGCAAAATTGTTACGCTGAGTTTCAAGATCTTTATCTAATCTGAGACGGTGTTCATCCATCTCTGCCTTTAGTTTATTTTCCAGAGTCATCAGCTGCTTCTGATGCTGTCGCCTCATCCGTTTATAACCAGACATCTGCTCTCTAAGTTCAGAGTCCTGCTCATGCTCTTGCATCTGCCTTGTAACCTAGACATACAATTGAGGGGGGAAAAAAAGGCAAAAAGCAAAACATTTTTCTTTCACTAGCATTTAGAAAGCTGGGCATGGTGGTGCAGACCTGTAATCCTAGCATTTGGCTGTCTAAGAAATAAATTGTCAAGAGTTCAAGTGTAGACTGTTATACCACATATATGACTGTAAGGCCAAGCCAAGTCTTTTATATCAAAAGACCTTGTCTCTACTAAAAATAATAATGATAAAGCATTTAGAACATTACTACTACTTAAGAAATTAATTAACCTAAGAGATTATAATAACAGTTTAAAATTAAATTTCTAGCAGATCTTTTAAAGAAATGGACAGGCTAATTCTAAAATGTATATGAAAATACAAAGTATCTAGAATAACAAAATATTATTCAGGAAAGTAAAGCATAAAGATGATCATTATACTCATCAAGACAGTATGGTACTGGAAAAAGGCTAAGTGGATCAAGAAACAGAAAAAGAGGTGGGTGTGGTAACACACACCTTGACCCCAGCACTCAGGAAGCAAATGAAGGTAAATATCTGAGTTTGAAGTCACCCTGGTGTACAGAGTGAGTTCTAGGACAGCCAGAGCTACATTAAGAAACCTTGCCTCAAAAAACTTGAAGGAGGGACAATGAAATATCTGTATACAAAAGTGCGTGCTGAAAGCCTCAACAACTCGAAAAAATCTGAAGTGAAAGATCACTTATAGTAAAGAGTTCAAGACCAACCTGAGCAAGAGATTGAATCACCATCTAAAAAACCAACCAACCAGCCAACCAGCCAACCAAATCAAACTGGGGAGAAATGAACTGGGGAGAAATGGCTGGGCTAGAACATTGTATTTTTACAAGGCTAGTCTTAAACTCACAGAAATCCACCTGCCTCTGCATCCTGAGTGCTGGGACTAACGGTATGCATCACAACTGGCCAACTGACTTTCAAAACTTTTTACAATTTTATATATATTTAACAGAAGGGATCTTCAAGGAAAAGTGAGAATATCAGGGCAATCATGTTATGACTTGGGCCAGTATCCAAAGAGACAAAAAAGAAAAAAGGAAACATTTCAGTTAACACTCAGAGAAGTGACTAGGCTTAGCAGTGAAGATCTGCACACATGGCCTGAACGGGGTTTTAAATGGCCATAAAATGTAATTAAAAAAAAATCTATGTTCATTGTTACTTAGAAAATGCACATGACACTTGGAGCATATAATACAACTACTTGCCAGTTCCAAACAGTCCCTCTTTATGGCTACCACATATCTTTTTCTTATTGTTAATTCTTTCATCTTTCATCTCTTGCTCTTTTTTGTTTTGTTTGTTTGAGGCAGTTTTTCTGTGTAGCTCTGGCCGTCCTGGAACTCACTATATAGACCAGGCTAGCCTTAAACTCAGAGATTTGCCTGCCTCTACCTCCTGAGTGCTGAGACTGAAAATGTTCTAGCACACCTGGCATGCTAATTTTTATGTGGCAATACACAGATTCTCTTCTCCTGCACCTAAAACCTAAGAACTTTAAATGCTCAAACTATGTTACAAATAACTTCTTTTATACCACTAATCAAAACTAACTTGAAGCCACGCATGGTAGTATACTCCATTAATTTCATTATTCAGCGAGCAGAGGCAGGTGGACCTCAGTGAGTTATAGTTTATCCTGATCTACACAGAATTTTTTCTGTTTCAAAAAAGAAAATATATTGAAATTTATTTGAATGCGTACTTAGTAGTTCTCATGAGCATTCTAAAATAGTATGCAAATAAAGATCTTGAAGAATTACTAGTTTAAATTCTCTTAGAATGCTTTCTTCTAACAGAGAACTTAAATACTAAATGTTGTACAAAAGAAATCCCAAACACAGAAATAGGAAGATTAGACATGTGAGCCCATACTGCCACTGTAACAAAGACACGACCTTTGGGACAGGAGACATACCAGTGATGCTGTTCGGATAGTTGCAAAGTGCTCTCTGTTACGATAATGTGACTTGTGGCGAGACACTTGAGGTGGAGACTGCGGATCTGATGCTCGTGTTCTAGGATCTCCCTCTTCTCTGTAATTTTCCTCCTCCTTAAAGGACACAAAGACAGAGACAGAGAAAATATTATGTGAGGTAGACAATTTATTTCAGCATTCAAGAAAAGACTAACCACAATTTTAATCAATAATCTCAAAGAAATACAATTTTACAAAGAAGAAATAGAAACTAGAAATACTATTGATACTTTCAACATAAGTTGGCTAAATTTCCAGAGTGCATGAAATAGGATAAACTCAACATTCAAAATATACAGAGTTTTATTTTATTTATTTATTTTTGGTTTTTCAATACAGTGTTGCTTTGTGTAGCTCCCGCTGTCCTGGACCAGGCTGGCCTCAAACTCAAGATCCGCTTGCCTCTAAAAGCTTGAACTAGAGATTCTACCACAGGATCCAAGTCTGATTCCCAGCACCCACATCAGGTGGCTCACAAGCACCTCTGACTCGACTCTAGTTTTAGGGGATCTGACACCTCTGGCTTCCTGGGGCACCTGCACTCATCTGCATATACATACTCACCACCCCCAACACGTTTACACTTATTTAAAAACAATAAAAAACTAAAAAGCTTTTACGTAACTTAAAAGCAAAATAGGACATGTAATGAATGTTTCAAATAATAATACTTAAGCAGTCTTGAGATTCATAAGCAGTACAGTATAACACTATTTTGTTGGTGTTGGTGTTTTCTCTGCTTTGATTATAGATGAGTGTCACTATGTTAGGCTTTAGATTATGTTTATAATATCTTCACCATTTGCAAAAAGAAACAATAAAAACATAATAGTTAAAGAAAATTACTGCTATTGTTACTGGGTGGTGGCTATTAACTGTAGTATCTCAGTACTCAGAAGGTTATGACAGCATTGCCATGAGTGTGAAGCCAACCCTGGCTAGATTAAGATCATGTCTCAAAAGAAAAGAAAAAAATTAAGTGGAATTTTTATATGGAAAATTATATTAAGGTTTAACCATCATTCATAACAGGTTTTATGTATTTGTTAAAATATATTAAGGTTGGCATGGTAGTGCATATTTTTAGTCTCAGAACATGGGAGGCAGAAGCAGGTAAATCTCTTTTAGTTCCAAGGCCAGTCTGATCTATATAGTGAGTTCCAGGCAAGCCAAGGCCTTGTCTTTAAAAAACAAAACAAAACAAAACAAAAAAGGCAGAAGGTGGGAGTACACGCTTTTAATCACAGCACTTAGGAGACAGGAGGATCTCTATGTGTTTGAGGCCAGCCTGGTCTACAGAGTGAGTTCTAGGACAGCCAAAGCTATACAAAGAAACCCTGTCTCAGAAAAAAGCAAACAAACCAACTTTTTCCTTTTTTAGCCATTTTAATTGGCACCAATTACATTTTCTTTCTTTTTTAAGATTTTATTTATTATGTATACAATATTCTGTATGCATGTACCCTGCACACCAAAAGAGGGCACAAGATCTCATTATAGATGGTTATGAGCCACCATGTGGTTGCTGGGAATCACTAAGGACCTCTGGAAGAGCAGACAGTGCTCTTAACCTCTGAACCATCTCTCCAGTCCCCACCATTTACATTTTCAGTGCTATAAATCTATCACATCACCTCAAACAGAAGCTGTCATCAATTAGCAGTATCTTCTATCATCTATTCAAAATATGGTAACTTTTTTATTTTGTTTTTTTAGACAGGGTTTTTTTTTTTTTTTTTTTTTTTTTTTTAATGTAGCCTGCCTCTGCTTCCCTGAGCACAGGGTTTATAGGTGTGCACCACCAAGCCCAGCTTTGTAGAACTTTATAGAAATAGTCATAGTTTTCACAGAGAAACCCTGTCTCAAAGAGAAAAAGGAAAAAAAAAAGTTCTCCTATAAAGAATTACCTGACTTGTCTTGCTTATTCTTTTTTTCTTCTGGTGTTAAGAACTGAATACAAAATGGCTAGCCTGCTTTAATTGAACCCAAGGTCACCTGCATGCTAGGCAAGCATTCTACGACTACGAAACTGCACTCCAGTCCTCAATTTTCTTGAGAAAATTAAGAAATTTATACTCAAAATTACAAAGGAGAATAGGGAGATAGCTCAGTGGCTAAACCAATTGTCACACAAGCTTAAAGACTAGAGTCTGGATCCCTAAGCCACATATAAATGCTAGAACAGCATGGCAGCCTGCCAGTAATTCTAGCCTAAAGAGATGGTGGCGACATGGGATCCATGGAGAAAACTGGCTGGCTAGACTTCATCATCAAGCTTTGAATTCAACTGAGGGATCCTGCTTCAGGACTGAGGTAGTGACGAGTGACCAAAGAAAACTGTTCAATCCAGAATTTCTACATGTGTAAACATACCAACACATTTGACACATAAACAAAAACACTTCTTTTACTAAACCCTATCAAATGTCTTCTTTTATTTTAAATATAAAAGTGAGTACTATAAAAGTTGCTTCTGGCTCATTACTCGTAATTGATTCTCTCCTTTTTCAAAGATTTATTTATTATTTATACAGTATTCTGCCTGCATGTATGCCTATATCCCAGAAAAGGGCAGATCTCATTATAGATGGTTATGAACCATCATATGGTTGCTGGGACTTGAACTCAGGACCTTTGTAAGAGCAGCCCATGCTCTTAACCTCTGAGCCATCTCTCTAGCCCAACTCTTGTTTTCTAATTGAAACTATTCATAAATTTCATGTACATAACAATAGGTTATGTACACACACACAATTATGCATATATTATGTCCCTTAGACCTAAAATTATAGACAGCTGTGACAAACCCGTGACACAGCTGCTTATTGCGAATGTTGAGAAATGAACTCAGGTCCTCTGGAAAAGCACGTGATCCTAACCAGGGAGTGCACCCGAACTGTTCTGTTTTTGCTTTTTCCTTTTCTTTTCTTTGTTGGGGTGGTGAGGTGTTGTGGTGAACCGAGTCTTCTGTGGCTGGCCTCAAATTTACTATGTAGCTGAGGTACCCGTGAATTCCTGATCCTCCTAAGTCTGGGATTCAGGTATAAATCACCACACCCAGATTCCAAACTTCTTAAACTTCAAAGAAAATCTCTTGAATTAATCAGTCAAAAGAAAATTAAGGGTCAAAGTTGAGTTTTTCGGTTTTTGTTTTGTTTTCTCCCCCAGAGAAAAGACAACACTCACGGGTTTTAAGTGGATGACAGAACTGTTAGACATCACTGTATGGTCTCCCTCCATCATGTCTAGCTCACTCTTGTCATCCGAGGCATCTGGAAGACTGTTAACACTGCTGCTTTGGCTGCTGGCACTGATAGACATACTGGGAATAGACTGATTACTGCCAACACTATTCACTGTTCCTGTCCGGCCAACACCATGATCTTGCTCCTAAGGGAAAAGAGAAATTAAAATATCTAAGTGTCTTCTTAATTACGGATTACATAGAAGAGAAGCTTGACAAACATACACAAGTGTCTTCAGTAAAGACTTCTCATATCCTTTACTACACAATATAAAGGGACTGGATGCAAAGTATATAATAACAAGATCAAAGATCTTTGTTATAACTAGAATTTTAGAGCACAGTAGTGGAACCGATGACATAAAAGGTATTCTCGGCTGGGCAAGTAGCACAAGAAATTAGTAAACTTAAAATTTGTGTCAATTTTAAGTACTATATATACCTCCTCTTCTTCCTGTGCTTCTACTGCTGGTCCATTATGTGCCTCCTGGAAAAGGAGCTTCTTCATCTTTCGATACTGCAGATTGTCCAGCTCTCTCACTGCATCCTTTGTCCTTTGAATAAGATCTATTAACACTGTTTCTGGGCGCTCGCGAAGAACAAACATGTGCTAGAATGGCAGAAAATAAAAATGGGCTATTTTCTCTCCTAATTAGTTCAAACATATTTCTTTCTCATAATCTATGGGTGATATAGATTCATATATCTTATAGGTGTCCAATTTTATTATATCTTATGACTTTTGATACTTAGAAAATAATAATTTCCACACTCTGCCTAAATAAATAAATACTCTTGAATAAAATAATCATCAGGATATTTTTAGTTGGCCAGTGAAAATACAGTTGAAATTATAAAAGCGTTTAAATACTATGAAGATCCACTCCTGACTATAAGCTATGCTTGATTTAAGTAGGAAAATGCAGTGACAGTATGGGCTTCCTTGTCTTGAGACGGAGTTTCACTGTGACAGCCAATGCCGACTTTGACTCTGTGGTCCTTCTAGTGCTGAGATAAAGGTATGCGCTAGCGCTCAGTTGGTCAGGCTTTTATTTCTGAGGGCACGTGTGAGCTCACTCTCAGGGACTACAGACGCAGTTATTGTTTCACTATGCATCACAACTGCAAGTAATAACATCAATGTACGTATGTAAGTATGTGCATACATGGATATTCGTTGTAGGACTGATTTAGCCAATGTTACTGAAGAAACTTTACCTGTTTTGAAATTCTAAAATAGTAATATAAAATAGTTCACATGAGTCATGGAAATGATTCATAGCTAAAGTCAAATTCTCATTACTAGCTAGTCCAAATTTTTAATCTTTTAAATCTCAGCTGAATGAGTTTAATCTTTTAAATCTCAGCCTACATGTGTCTGGGTAACATGTGCATGCAGTTCCCTCAGGGGCCAGAAGAAGGTGTCATATGACTCAGAACTGGAAGAAACAATTATGGGCGCTACAAATCAAATGTGGGTCCACTGGAAGAACAGCCAGTGTTCTTGACCACTGAGCCATCTCTTCAGCCCCTAATCAAGAAACTTTAACAGATATGAAGATGTAGTTCAGTTGGTATTTGTCTAGGATTCATGAAGTCTTTTTTTTTTTAAAGACGTATTAAGTTTTTTATTTATACAGCATTCTGCCTGTGTACCAGATCTCACTATAGATGGTTGTGAGCCACCATGTGGTTGCTGGGAATTGAACTCAGGACCTTTGGAAGAACAGCCAGTGTTCTTAACCTCTGAGCCATCTCTCCAGCCCATCCATGAAGTCTTGTATTAAATCTAGTAAACAAGGTGGTGGAGCATGACTACACAACAAAAGTTCAAGGCCAGCCTGGGATACTCAAGATCCCTCTCAAAAAAAAAAAAAAGCAGGCTTTACAAACTATATCAAACCAGGCGTAGTAGTGCACACCTGCAATTGTAACTATTCCCAGCACTCAGGGAGGCAGACGCAGGTAGATTGCTATGAGTTCAAGGCCAGCCTGGTCGACAAAGTAAATCCAGGACAGCCAGGGCTACACAGAGAAATCCTGTCTCAAAACACCAAAGGGGTAGGGGGGAGGAAGAAAAAAAGAAAAAAGAACTACATCAAGCCTGATGTGATGGTGCACACTTTTAATCCCAACACTGAAGAGGCAGAGACAGAAGAATCTTCCTGAGTTCAAGGCCAGCCTGGTCTACAAATTGAGTTCCAGGCTACTCAAGGCATAGTGAGACCTCATGTCAAAACAAAACATAAAACAAAAACTATTCAGTAAAACTATTATACTATTACCAGTATTAATTAAATGGCCAACACTCAAATGAACAATTTTTTGAGAAAAGCTAAATATATATGTATATGGGGGGGCAGTGCGTGAACATGTGGACACACATATATGTGGAAGTCAGAAGACAACCTATAAGAGTCAGAAATAGAACTCAGGTCTTAAGGCTTGGTGCCAAGCAAGTGCCTTTATTCACTAAAGCATCTTGTTGAGCCAAACCTACATGATGTTTATATATTCATTTATAATATTCGTTGCTAAATGAGCTAGCACTTGGATCTCAGCAGCTACAACATGCTGGAATTACCTACAAATGGAGGAGGAACAGTAGGGCTTGCTCACTTCTAGCCTAGCTGAGATCCTGCCTCAAAGGAATAGGCTTCACCACCCCCCATCTCACACACACCCACACACACCCACACACACCCACACACACGCACGCGCACGCGAGCACACTTAAACTCTAAAGGCATCTTTAAAACAAATGTAGTATCTAAGGAAGGTAAATTTACCAGGGTTGGGGTAGAGTGTTGGGGTGACTGGAGTGTTGGGGGGTGACTGAATTGGTAAAATGCCTGCCCTGATTTCAAAACCCAGAATCACAGAGATAATGATATAAAAATATTAGCACTTTAGCCAGGTGCGATGGCACACACCTGTAATCCCAGCACTCAGGGAGGCAGAGGCAGGTGGATTGCTATGAGTTTGAGGCCAGCCTGGTCTACAAAGTGAGTACAGAGCAGCCAAAGCTACACCAAAAAACCCTGTCTTGAAAAACAAAAACAAAAAAATAGTACTTTTAGCTGGGTGTGACAGTTTCCGCCTTTAACCTTAGCAGTCAGGAGGCAGAGGCAGGGGAATTGAGTTGAAGGCTTGGTCTACAGAGTAATTTCCAGGACAGCCATAGCTACACAGTGAAACACTATCAAAAAAACAAGTATTAGTATTTAAAAGGGCTGGGAAAAATAGCTGAAAGATTAAGAGTACATGCTTGACATATAGTCCTATTTGAGTGGCAGCACTATAAAAAAAAAAAAAAACTTTTAAATTGCTATTTTACAAAGCCTTTATTACATTTGTTTATTATTTATGGACAAGGAGACACGGACACACAAACACACACACACACTTATGCTAAAGTCACTTTTTTCTTTCTACCATGTGGATTTCGGGCATTCAGAGCCGGTTGTGAGGTCTGGCGGTTGTTTGGCAACAACCGCCAAACTGTGAGGTTTGGCAACAAATGCCAAGCCATTTCACTGGCCCCAAATTTAGTATTTTAGTAAAAACTAATGTAGTTAATCCTGACTGAGAAGAAAAAAACAACAAACCGTTTTAAAATAATTTCCTAAGGATTAAAAACAATAAAGTTTTACAGACTGACCTTTAAAAGTTCCTCTGATGTAGGGCGATCTTGAGGGATTTTCTGGAGGCAAGAATCTACAAAGTTTCGAAAATAATCAGACCTATTGTAAAGAAAGTATCAAGTGAACATATTGCTATTTCCTTTAAAAACACATCCAAAAAGACACATGTCTACTCACAGAAGGAAGAATAGGGAAGAAATGATAATATAATTTCTTCTATGCAAAGTGAGTTAGAGAAACCAATGACTTTAAAATTTTCCAAAAATAGACTTGCACAGATCATTTACAAATCCTAGGCTGGGGGTATAGTGCCATGGCAGGGTGCATGATTGGTTAGAATTTGAAAAAGAAAGAAAGAATAAAAAGAAAACATCCTGTTCCCACATATTTACCTATCAGAAATCATTCAATACTGAGTCAAGAGGAGGTGCGGCCCATCTAAAGCTCTTCCCCCGTCAAATGTGGCTTCACACTCTCCTACCCTGTCTCTAAGTCTCTTCTTATTTATTGTGAACTGTTTTCTATAGAGCATGTTTTAGAACATAACTCTTCTCTTATTTTATTCCCTATAGAGAAAAGCTTTGTTTTTTTTTTAAGTTCTTCAAGGCAAATTTTCTCTGTGTAATCCTTGAACTCACTTTGTAGACCAAGGAAAAAGAATATTTTAAAAATAACCTAGGTATTTGCTGCCCCTGACCAAAAGGATAAAACTTCCATTAAATCTAGAAGACTGATAAAAGATAATTTTTGAAATATTAAAACCCTCTAATGTGTCATCATAGCATCATTCATGGGAGCTCAGTGATTACACAGAAAGTAATTATTTCATCAATGTTTATCTCCAATATTCAAAAAGGGCAACACATTTTTTCTTTTTGAATAGGGTTTCACACTGTAGCCCAGGCTGGCTTTGAACTTGGAACAATTCTCCAACCTCTCAAAAGGCTGACATTATAGAAAATGAGACTTGTCTTTCATTGTGTAAGAGGTCCAAAAAGAAGAGTTTACTCTACATCTCAGAAGAGATTTCAGACATTGGGCTTCTGTATAATGTTAAAGACTATAGGAACTTTCAGAGACTAACACATTTTGTATTATAAAACGAAAATGCAACTTTAGAGGCAAAAATTGTAATTCTGACAAGGGGCAGGGTAATAATGGTTAATCATATTAACTGGACAGGATTGAGAATCATCTTGAAAACAAGCCTGTAAGTGGGTCTCTGCGAGGGTGTTTCCAGAAAGGATTAACTGAGGAAGATAAACTCTGAACGTACAAGGCACCTTCCCATTGGCTGAGGTCCCAGAATAAGTACATAAAATGAAGCAAGTGGAGCTCCAGAACTCTAACTCCTCACTGAAGATACAATGTAACCAGATGCCTTCCACATCAAGACCAACTCTACCTTCAAACGGTGATCCCAAACTTCCTTCTTGAAGCTGCTTTTGTCAGATAAATTGTTACAGCAATGAGAAAAGTAACTAATGCACAATTTTTTCAACTCAAAACAATTCTAGTCTAAAACTGTTAATCTCTTCTCCGTATACTGTCTTACATGAAGTTTTAGCAAATCAAAGACTACACATTAGAAGAAAAAAACAGATCAGTATGAATTAACATATTCAGCTAGGTTTTAAATTACCTAATAATTTTGAAAGAATCAAACCATTTACCTATGTCATATACAATATGATAATCTATTCTTCAAATAATTACAACAGGTTATGACAATCTATGCATTTTAGCTACAAAGTATTAATGCTCAAAAAATGCTATTAAATTATTAAGATTATTATTATTGAAAGGAGAAGTAACCTACTTTGTTTTCAGGTAGTACATTTACTTAAATAAAATAGTCATACTGATAATGTTTATACTTTATTGATATTTATAGAAATTCCGAAACATTAATCAATATCTTATGGGAATACTCACCATTCATTTGACTGTAGTGTAGGGGATTCATTTTGGGCTATGTGATATAAGGCACTCATTGCATTCATATTAAATAAAGGAGGCTTCCTCTCCGCTATAAAAGATAGGAAATCTTTCTGTTAAAATGTGAATGTATAAGGATACTCAAGTATTAATCAAGATTTTAAGAATATATTTTGAAAACAACTTTAAACTTAATTGTTGGTATGTTGATGCTGATTGCTGACCCTCAAGATCTGGTTACTGTCTGGATACACCTATCCTTGCTGTGTAAACCTGCCTAGGACATTATAGCTGATGTGTTGATTTTTACCTGGGCAGGGCAAAATGGGCTAGGCGTGACTAAGATTCCCCGGCTTCAGGTTCAAGGGAATCACTGGAAATGATGGGAAGAAAGGAGGAAGGAGGGCGCCATGATGAGTTAGTGTGGAGAAAGGAACCACACAGGCCAGGAGGAAGTTCTCCAATAATGTCATGGAAAGGCCTAGATGAAGAATACAAGCAAGTATCTTGGGATTATGGATGGGAGGTAGCCCAGATAGGAATGATTAAGACAGATGGTAATGGATGGGGACTGGGAGACAGATGGTGGAAGTTATTGAGACACTGTAGGAAGAAATACCTGCCAGGTCTAAGGAAATAAGGCAATTATAAACTCTAACAGGTGTCTGTGTCTTATTATTTGTGATAGCAGGTTAAATAATACCACCACAATAGTTATAGGGCAAATAATAAATAACCTTATATACCACAACACTCTTTTAATTTACAACATCACTAAATAGAAAATTGTTGTAAAAAAAAAAATCCTTTTTGTTTGTTTTATTTTTGTGTTCTGCCTCCATGTATGTCTGTGTCAAATTCCCTGGAACTGGAATTACTGATAGCCTTGAACTGCCATTTGGTTGCTGGGATTTGAATCAAGGTCCTTTGGAAGAGCAGCCAGTGCTCTTAACCGCTGAGCCATCTCTCCAGCTCCTTTACTACTACTTTTAAATTAAATATTTGTGTTGTATAGGTTATGTATACAAGTGGGGATGTCTACAAAAATCAGAAGAGGGTGTTGGATCCCCAAGAGAAATATGAACTCATAACTGCTAAGGCATCTGTTTAGTCCCTTATTTTTATAATCAGTACTAATTGTTACTTCTCATTCCTCCTAGCCCAGGAACTATCCTGGAACTCTGTGTGGCCAGCCTGGCACCAAACCGTGAGCCAGCTTCTTTAACTTTAAGATTATAAATGTAAACTCTTACACCTGGCTTTGTTCATTCCTAATATTAGAAATTTGTATCTTCTTTCTCTAACCAAAATGAAAAGAGGCTTACCAATTTTAATGATCATCATAAAGAATCTGATTTTAGTTTTAATGATTATTAAAGATATTTAGAATGAATGAAATAATAACATCCATTTATGTTATTATTGAGGTCTTCAAACTGGCAGATTCAACTGACCTCTTATTCTCTTCTCTTCTGGGTTGTTCTGTAGCTGAAGATGACTTTGAATTTCTGATCACCCTGCCTCATTCTTAGTTTTATATGGTTCAGGGAAACCAAACCCAGAACTTCATTCTAGGTAAACATTCTACCAACAGAACTGGAGCTATATCTCTAGTCCTTTAACTAACATTTCTTAAAAAAAAAAAAAAAAAAAAATTCTGGGCATGGTGATGCACACATTTAATCCCAGCACTCATGAAGCAAAAGCATGAGGATTGCTTTGAATCTACATGGTAAGATCCAAGAATTTAAATTTAGTGTTTCCCTATGTAGCCCACATCACTATGTAAGCCAAATCAAGATCCATCTAAACTTTCCACCCAAATGTTGGTATTACTGGAAGTTAAACAAAGGGTCACACACATGCTAGATATGGACCAGTGAGCTCTAGCCCTAGTTTTTTTTATAATTTTGCAAGTCTTACTAAATTTCCCAGGCTACTTTGAATTCACTCTCTTGTCAGGCAGACCTTAAATTTGCAATCCTCCTGTCTAAGCCTCTACAATACCAAAGTTAAAGCCTACCCAACCAAATGGACATCTAATTTCTAAACTTAGAAGTAACTAATTTATATAGTAATACGTCATCAATGATTAAGAGACCTTTTACGGCTGGGTGGCGGCACACGACTTTAACCCACCACTTGAAGGCAGAGGCACATGGTTCTCTCTGAGTTCAAAGTCAGCCTGGTCTACAGAGTGAGGTCCAGGACAGCCAGGGCTGTTACACAGAGAAACCCTGTCTCCAAAAACCAAAATAAAAAACAAAAAAGCTCCTATGGATGATAAACATGGTATTAGGTACATTCTAAGTGTTAAACAATTAATGTCAGACATAGATATTCAAGACCACAGTGAAAAATTATTTTAGACCTAATTTAATAGCAAATACATGTAACCTAATATGTATTAGGTTAATATAAAATCATCAGATAATCAAAGCAAAAGCTTTAAAAGATTTATTTTTCCCCTCAAATCTGGGCTGAAAAGATGGCTCAGTGGTTAAGAGAACTGGCTGCTTTCCCAAAAGACTTGAGCTCACTTCCTAGAACCCACATAGAGATTCAAAACCATCTGCAACTACAGTTCTGGGCAATCCAACACCCTCTTTTCTGGTCTCCCTGGACACCAGGCACACACATGGTACTCAGACATACATGCAGACAAAAATATTATGTATGCATTATATAAGTATATATAATAAATTAATTTTAAAAATTGAGATCTAAGACAAAAATCTAATTTAATATGGTAATTGAGTAAACACTGAATCAAAACTTAATTCAGCTAGGTGTGGTGACTTACACTTTTAATCTTAGCAAACAGAAAGCAGAGGCAAGTGAATATCTATGAGGCCAACCTGATCTACAGAGAAGTTGTAGGTAAGCCAAGGTTATATACAGTGAGATCCTGTCTCAAAAAAAACAAAACTTAATCCTTAGTAATAAAAAAATAATGCTTACCTAATTCAATACATGTTATTCCAAGAGACCATACATCAACTTTGCCATCATACTGTCCTTCATCCATGGCTAAAATTACTTCTGGGGCCATCCTAAAACATACAATATTCAACCAATTTAAAATTTGGGAATGTAAGTTCCGTCTACATAAATAACATCAGTTTAAAAACAATGTATGTAAACATAAAAATCTTTACAATGGAAAACAAATTAGAAGCTACGAGGTACGATTTTAGCAATGCTCAGAAACCATGGAACTCATTCTCACCATCTGTCATCCTGTCACAGCATTCCAGAAGGACAATCCCAAAGCAGGGCTATCTGAGATTTCACTACAAAATTCTAATACTTGCTTGAAATACTGAATTTTGCCATGGGCAACAAACATTGTCAGTTGTTTTTACCTGAAATGAAAAGGCAGGCACAAGGCCTATCCAGTAAACTGAATCCTAACCCTCTAATGTTTCTTTTAGAAACTGAAAAGATGGTCACAAAATTTCTCTCTAATAAGCTGTTAAGACTGTACATCCCAGAGCAATGTACCATTGTAACAGTCTGTCTTTTATAAAATAAGAAGGGAGATTTCAAACATAGATAAAAAGGATACAATGGATCAAAGGTACTATTTTCAGAATATATAATGATGACATACGGACGTTTAAATATCTGAAAAATCACTTCCTTAAAATTTTCACTGACATACATATAAAATTATTCCTAGACCAGAGCAGATAATATTTAGAATTTCAATAAAAATAACTGGGTAAGAAGAAATGAGAGTAGGGAGGACAGAATTAACCATGTGATAAGGTTATTGGGCTGAGTAACTGGGACGAAAGATCTCATTATACTTCTATTTTTATGTACATCTGAAATTCCTCAAGCAGAAAATTCAAAACAGCAGAACTTCTCCAATTCAGCTACCAGTCTACATAGTGACTGATACAAAGTGAGTTTGTTCTCAGAAAACAAAAGCAAGAGGATAGGGGATGCAAGTCAGTTCAACTAAATAGGGAGTTTAAAACCAGCCAGAGCAACATGAGGCACTGTCTCAAGAAAGGAGCAGCACGGCAGCAGATATAGCTCAGCAGTTTTGAATCTAGAGGACCTGAGTTTGATTTGTACACCAGAAGCTCTTCTGTAACTCTAGCTTCAAGGGATTTGATGCCCCTTCTGCTCTACAAGGTCACGCTAATACATGTGGCATACATTTACCATTGGTATAATGTTCTTTTGAAATGTATATACCTTACCCTTGTTCATTCAAATGCTGACTTTCCCCCCTCCCCCCACGCTCTGGTTTCAATCCAGATATTGCATTGTGATACTCATTCTAAGCATCCTGTCTCAACTCTTGTGCAAACAGGCCAAAATAAAGCAACTAGACACAATGTTGAGCTGGGAGGGGCCAGAGGACAGGAAAGAGGGGAGGAACTAGAGGACAGGAAAAGGTGGGAGGAGAGCTTGGAGAGAGAGAGAGCTGGAGGACAGATCTTGGAACTATGTGGAGAGATGGACTGGACCTAAGATATCACAAAAAGCAAGTATAATGTGGGAAATCTGAATCGTAGGAAACTATGCAGGCTTGGAGGTTTAGGATGGAGTAACTATTGGCCAGCATTGTGTTCTAGGTTACCTAAATAAACCCAGTCTCAGAGTGGTGATTTGGTTATACAGCTGTTTAGGACTAACAGCAAGCATGACTAAAAGAAAATTATTAGTAAATATTAATTGCTGATTACAACAATTTACAAAGACACAAACTTCACAAATTTTATTTTAAAAAGTAAATTTAAAGAAAATTTGTTACTGTTTACTGGGCATATTTATTTTCTCTATTTGAATGTTAGTGATGTTTTACTCCCATACCTAAAACACAATACAGAGAATAAATGGAAAGTATATGTGGCAAAGATAAAAAAAATAAAAAAAAGAAAAGGAAAAAAGGAAGCAGTTGCAAGAACAAACCTGCAAATCTGTATTTAAAACTAAGTATAAAACAAAATATAAAAAAATATCCAAGACATTTTAGGAAAATGACTCCTTAAAAAGTATAATCATATACTGCTTACTTTAATTATGAGCATCAATATCAGATAAGACTACTCTTACCAATATGGTGTTCCCACAAAAGAATTGGCAGGGGAAGCCATGGAAGCAGATCCAAAGTCAGCAAGTTTCACCTGGCCTGGTTCTGTCAGAAGGATATTTCCTGCTTTGATATCTCTGGTTTAAGGAACACAGAAAATTATTTAACCTTCCTTCATTAGATTGTATTTAAAAATGATGAAAATATAAAATATGCAAAACAGGAATAAAAACATCAAGTACTGAAATAATTTCACATTGTGATAATAAACTTAAACAACAAAAACAGAATTCAAGTAAAAAATATAGCAATAATTAAGATTAATTAACAAAACAAAAAAAATTGAGCATTGTGTCACACTCAATGGTTTTGAATTTGTTTATCAGTATGGACAATGGCTTTGAATTTTTAAGTTTTCTAAGTATCCCTTTTAACATTTAGAGTAAAGAACTTTATTTTCCGAACTTGGTTTATAAGAAAAGAATTACTCACCCCATTTCTCAAGCTTTCACATAGTTTCTGATTAACCATGAAATAAAAACTGGAAGCACATGGATAATGCACTATCAATGGTCCCAAGTTTATATTCAAACTTACTCTTCTGTAACCGCAAACATACTATCCAAACTAAGCTAAATGGATAGTTACACAACAGGAATGTATGTTCCATGGATACTAGAATATATACTTAACTTTTTATAACTTAAAAAGTAAAAAAGCATTTACAAGATTTATTGATTCTTGTTATAGTACATGTAATACTGCGTATAATACACTTTTATTTGTGTATTTCTTTTTAAATGGTAAAGTACTTTCTTCTACCCTTCGTGACTCTGTGTGTGTGTGTGTGTGTGTGTGTGCATGTGCGTGTTGCTGGGAATTCCAGGACCTTATGCATAGGAGGTACTCTGGAGATGAAAACTTGCTACTATATTAGATATTTCTCTTGGACTTCACTTACCCTCACCTAGAAATAACAATCCACAACTCAAAATGACTATACTGCATAGTTTCTTATCTGGATCACATATACCATTTTTAAAATACTCATATCTATGTGGAACAGCCAAAACTAATAGCAATGCTAAAAATCGGTCTAACTGTAATGGTGCTATCAAGGATGATCAGGGTTAATGTACAGAATTTAAAAAGTTTTTGTCCGTGTTATAGAATCAATAAAATAAATCTGTCATGATCAGTTATCAGGAAGACAAAAGACCCATTAAATTCAAGATCTAATCAATTTAGCTTTGCAATCTTGATGAAATTACAGTCAAAAATTAGAACATTAATTGTACAAGGAGAAGGACAGACTAGACTGTATGATCCCTAATGGCCCCTCTGGTTTGCAAATTACAAAATTCTACAACTAAGTTCCACAAAATATATATGCTTTAGGAAACATAGCAGCATACATACGCAAAAACAACAGTTATTCTAAACAGACCAACTGTATATTATTGTGTTCTTTCTGTTATGTGGTAGTGTAAATAATGAGTTATATAATCATATTTGGCTAAACAAAACTTTCAGAGGCATTGAACTGTAGAGGTGATAAATTCAACAAACCATTCACTTGTCAATATATGGTAATTTTTGAGTCACTTACCTATGGATCATGGTGTGAGAATGTAAATAAGCTAATCCCTGGAGAGCACCATGTGTAATTGCTGCTATTTCCACTTCTTGTAATGGCTTTTTATGAACTGGAAAAAAAAATTATTTGAAAAGTAACCACACAGAATATTTGTTTAAAAAATATATAGGGGTAAGCTGAGCACACCGGTAATCTCAGAACTCCCAGAGGCAGAGGTAGGTGAATCTCTGTGAGTTTGCAGCCAGCCTGGTCTACAAATCAAGTCCAAGATAGCCAAGGCTAATAAACACAGAGAAACCCTGTCTCCCCTCAAAAAAAATAAATAAATAAAAATAAAAATAAATAAATAAATAAATATAAAAAAATAACATTTAAAGGGGTGATGGGATGGGTTAGTGGGTAAATGTGCAAGCCTGAGGATCCGAGTTCAATGCCTTGAACCTACATAATAGAAGAGGACCAACCCTTCAAGTCGTCCTCTGGCTTCTACACATGAACTGTGGTGCACAAACATGTATACATTTATTTATACAAAATAAATAACTTACAAAAAAACTCATTTTAAAATATATACATGAATATACAAATGACACGTTGCTATTTCTATGTATAGTATGTGTGCATACTACAGTCTATATGTGGTCAAAGGATGATAATGATCCTCACCTCCTACCTTGTTTGAGGCAGTCTCTTTGGTATTTGCTGTTCTGTATATGCCACCCTAGCTAGCCCCAAACCTCCAAGGATTCTGCTGTGTCTACCTCTATCTCCCTGTGAAACACTGGAATTACTGAAGCACACTACCATGGCTACCTTTACTTGAGTTCTCAAGATTTGAACTCAGGTCCTAATGCTTGTGCAGCAATTTCTTTACTTGCTGAGTTATCTCCCCAACCCACACAAGGGTAATTTTTAAAAAGCAGACATTTAGCAAGAAACCATTTTCATGGTGATAAACAAAAGGCCACTTCATTTTATAACTAGTATACACTCATGACAAGGGTTAGCATGTTCTCATCAGCCAACTGTTCCTCCAAGCTTAACAATATTCAACAATTCACTTGATGACTGTAAAAAAGTACCAAGAGATCAAATTGAATGACAAAGAAATAAAAAAAAAAATACATATAAATTTGAATGAAAAAATTGGCCTATTTTCTAATCACTGGAAATTTCATGTGAAGAAAATGGAAAAGGCTATATATTTATTTAGCATTAATATTGTTTAAATAAACTCAACTGAATTTTGTTATTTTTCCTCTAATACTTTAATAAACAATAATTAGGGTCAGGCAGGGTGACAGATGCTTTCAATTAAATCAGGAAGGCTATAGGAGGAGGTGATGTCTGTGTGTTTGAGGCCAGCCTGGTCTATGTAGTAACTTTCAGACATCCAGGGCTACACAGAGAAACCCTATCTCAAAACTGATTTGTTTACTTATTTGGGGTTTTTTTTGTTGTTGTTGTTGTTTTGTTTGTTTATTTGTTTTTGTCTTTTGAAACAGGGTTTCTCTGTGTGTAGCTTTGGCTGTGTTTAGAATTTGCTCTGTAGAGTTCAGCCTGACCTCAAACTCAAAGATCTGCTTCTACCTCCCCAGTGTTGAGATTAAAGGTGTGCCACCACTACCTGGCCTCAAAATAAAATAAATGTTAGCTTACCTTCTAGTAAATCTGAAGCAGATCCCAAACAATATTCCATTACAAGCTATACAGGGAGAAAAATCATCAATGTATTAAAACATACTATAAACACTAATCTATTTGATACATGTGAAGTCAAGAACAGTCTAAAGTAAAACAAACTATCATCTACTTTTACAGAAAGTTATATATTTATACATAAAATTAAGCTCATAAGGCATGGTGACACATGCCAATAATCCCTGCAACCATGATGACAAGGCAGAAAATCTGAGGCCAGCATGGACTACACAGTGAACTCCAGGACCGCCTAGGCTACATAGCAAGATAGTGTCTTAAAAATACCAAAAAAGGAAAAAAAAAAAATTCAAGCCAATTATTTGCCTTTTAATAATGTTAATATAAAACCAACTATATAAGCTGTGTACTGCAATATATATATTTCTACATAAATATATTTATAATTATATGTAATCACATATATAAATAATCTACTTCTTATAATACCATGTCACAATTCTGCTTTTCAGCAAAGGAATCATGTCATTTCAAATTTTACCAGGATGTATTAAAACTTCACCAGGACCTTTGTACTTAAATATACTAATACAACTTTATGTGAAAAAGATATATTTACTTCCATTCTCAAATAATGGTACTACTTATAACATGTTGAGCTGGTATTTCTGAAAGGATGAATGAAACTCTGGAGAAAAGTCTTGAAAAGTTCCTTTATCTGTTAAGAGTTGTAGAAATACTGTTCTTCCTATCCCGGGATGAACTAACATTTCAGGTGTATGTGCATGTCTTTATATAACTAGTCTGAGACACTGAGTTAAGTCATGATAAACCAAAGGCAACTAATTTACAACTAGAAGAGAATAAATACCAACCCATGCTGTATGTTCACGTAAATAGCAGCCTTTATATTCTATACTGTTGGGATGTTTTATTCTTTGTAGAAACTTGACTTCCTTAATAATATCCTGCCATTTCTATGAGGAGGGAAAAAAAAAGAGAGAAGAATTATAAACTGATATTAAAGTATTATAAAACTGATTTTCCTTTGAAAGATAAAGAAAAAAACTACTATAAAAAGATAAAACATTAAAAAAAGTTAGAACGTACAACTTTATGATCTATACACGAAATGTCAAAGTTTAAAAGAACTATACTCAGCTTTCTACTTAATTATATTTGATATATATTTGATTTAAGAACAAATTTCAGTTTAACAATATTCATAATCGATGAGTCCTACTAAGTTTCATAATCAAAGACTAGAAAGATGGTTCTGAAGTTAAAAGCACTTGTTGTTCTTCAGAAAACCTGAGTTCCATTCTTAGCACCCATAGGTCAGCTCACAAGAGTCTACAACTCCATTTTCAGGGGACCCAACCTTTTCTGGCCTCCAGAGGGATCAACACACAAAGTACACATACATACATACAGGCAAACACCCATGCACATAAAATGCAAAGATCTCAAATCATAACAATCAAGCACATTGACAATGATATAATACGTGGGTTTTCTTTCCCTCAGAAATCCAACCTTTCTATTTTCTTTAAATAAGATTATTCTAAAATTACTAATTAAAATTAATTTTATTAATTTCCCATGCACTTCACAAAACTGTACTTTGATCATATTCATCCGCCCTCCCTGAGCATCTCCTAAATTCATCCCACCTCCCTACCCATCCAATTTTGTGTGCAATCTTTTTTTTGCTTTAAAACCCATCCAGCTAGGCCATGAAGGCGCATGCCTTTGAGCCCACCACTCTGAAGGCTGAGGCAGGTAGATCTCTGCATTCAAAACCAGCCTGGTCTACAGGGTGAATTCTAGAACAGCAAGGGCTACACAGAAAAACTCTTTTTGTCTCCAAGGGGGGGGGGGGGGAAGCAACAACAAAAAGAAAACAAAAACAAACAAAACAAAAAAAAACCCATCCAGTCCAACTTGTGCTGCACAAATATTTCTGGGTAGGGCTTGCCCTAAAGAGAGCAGACCCCTCGTAGGGACCACTCTCTTAAAGAAAACTGACTCTCCTTCCTCCATCCAATTGTCCCCACACTCTCCTGGCCTCTCTGGGACACCAGGTACATTTGTGTGACACAGAAATACATATAGGCAAAATACCCTGCATAAAATAAAAAACTAAAATAAATGCTAATAGAATAATTATGTATAAAAGGTCACAGAAAAAGAGGAGTGTGGTAACCTTTTTCCTACATATTCTGCTAAGATCTTTCCCTCACAAGTATCATGAAATACAGATAGCAATTAGGTCATATCCTTAACTCCTCTTTTGTATGTATGTGTATGTACATGCCCATGTGCGAGTGTAGGCACATACATGCCATGATGCATGTGTGGAAGTCAGCAGGGTGTTCTTTGTTGTCTCTGCTGTTGCCAGGCTGCACAGATTCTGCGGAATTCTGGAAATTCTGTCTCCACCTCCCATCCCATAGGAGTACTGGGATTACAAACAGGCACCTAACTTTCATGTGGGCCCAGGGAAGTAAAGTTCAGGTCTTTACACTTAGATGGAAAATACTTCACAAACTGAAACATTTCTCCAGCACCTAAACATAATTGCTCTTTTATTTTAAATTTTTTTTAAAGTTATACACTGATGGGCTATATAATTAAGAGCAAAAAAGGTATAACAAGAAATTAAAAAGTATTTTATACTAGATTTAAGAACATTTATCTCTGATATTACTTTATAACCTCTTAAACACAGCAAAATATGCTCAGTCTTCTACATAAAATCTGCAACAAACATTTAAAATTTTAAGATTCAGAAAGTTTTATGAGCTTTACACTTCAATTCTGAATAGTCTATGGGGCAAAGTCTTAAAATTTGGATTTCCCTGTGTAAAGAAAAATTTGTGAAGTACAGCAAAAGTAAATCCTAAAGATAATGCAATAATAAATACTAGTTCAACATCTAACTGATCAACAGACTTTAACAATTATGAAATAAGTAAATCTACTAGATATAGTTATTTTAATATAACAGTAAATAAAATTACACAGCAGGATGTGGTGACACACACCTGTCATCCAGCACTCAGGAGGCAGAGGCAGCAGATCTCTGAGTTTGAGGCCAGCCTGGTCTACAAAGTGAGTCTAGGACAGCCAAGTCTACACAGAGAAACCAAAACAGATAGATAGATAGATAGATAGATAGATAGATAGATAGATAGATAGATAGATAGATAGATAGATAGACAGACCGACCCTGATAGATAGATATAGATAAAATTGTACTTCTAAGAAATGTCACTTTTTAGGTATCAAAATGATGAAATGATGTAATTATAATACTATTACCATACCTTCAGTGTAATATCACCAAACCAATATTTACCACTAAACACAAATAGGAGCCAGTGTCTTTTAAACAAATTCAACAAGTCTACTTCTGGGCATCTAACCAAAAGAAATTAAAGCAAAAACCAAAAGAAACACTTGTGCACTCATATTCATAGCAGTATTCTTGACAATAGCCAAAAGAACCTAGGTCAAGGGCTGGAGAGATGTCTCAGAGGTTAGGAGCACTGGCTGGTCTTCCAAAGGTCCTGAGTTCAATTCCCAGCAACCACATGGTGGCTCACAACCATCTATAATAAGGTCTGGTGACCTCTTCTGGTGTGCAAGTGCACATGCAGACAGGATACCATGTAAATCTTAAAGAACCCAGGTCTATTTGGAGGAAGTTTGTATGTGAGGTGTGAATATAGAGAGAGCTAGATGTAACAAATACAATGGATGTTGGGCATGATGGCACACACCTGTAGCCCCAGCACTCGGGGTAGCAGAGGCAGGCGGATCTCTGTGAGTTCCAGGCCAGTCTGGTCTGCAAAGTGAGTCCAGGACAGCCAAGACTACACAGAAAAACCCTGTCTCAAAAAACAAACACACAGACAATGGAATATTTCTCAGTCTCTTAAAAGGGAAGAAAATTTGGACACATGTGATACTATGTATGAACACTAAGAAGACGCTGTGATATAAAATACTTTATTAACAAAAGGACAACTACTGAATGAGTTTTCCAAGTATATCCAATTTGCAGCCCTTCAGGCTTCATGGGATGACTCATAGCTGAAAATAGCTATGAAATGCAGTCTAACACAGAACTGAAAACTTACTTAAAACATCTTTTTTTTTTTTTTTTTGCAAGTATTTAAAAAGTCAGTCGCACAGTTCTTCAGCATAAACTTTTTCGATGACAACATTGTGCCACAGCGTCAAAGACTGGATATGCTTGACAGTGCATCCAGTAGTTCACTTCATGAGAAACAGTACAATTGTAGATGCTAGGGCTGGGTGTTTAAAAACAAAAATGACTGTTGTTTTGGTGGTACTAGGAACTGACCCCACAGTCTGCCCATGTGAATGGGTGTCAACTACTTTACCACTAAGCCAAATCTCCATGCCATATCATGAGTACACGTCCACTGGCCCAAGATCCAAAGAACTCTAGACAAGAGTGCTGCTAATGGTTGGACTACACGCAAGTACTTAACACAACTGAGCCATCTTAAAGATGGTTTCAGAGAGTAAAATTTTGTTATAAGTACTTTACCACAGCTAAAAAACTGTCAGTTTTTAAAATGAAAGACCCTCAGAATCCTAGATTTCCGAATAGATTTTACAACCTTATAATTACACAGAAATAAGATACTGGCAGCTAAAGCATCTACTTCTCCTTCTGCTTCTTCAAATTATTGTGTATTACCTTTGGGTAAAATTTAAAACAGCCTTGAAACATTTTCTCAATTGTTTTTAAAAGATTATGTCCTATTAATTTACTATCACATATACCTTAATTTAGTAATTAGAAACCAAGATAAACACAGAATAATTTATTAAATTACAACTTAAAAAATTAGATGCTGAAGATCCAAATTAGGAGGTTTTGAGTATGTCACTCATGTTAGTTTATGGCTCTTAACAGCTAAAGGAGTCTCACTCATTTGTGAAAGATCAGTTGATATAAGCGTGGGCAGAAGTCAGGAAACAAAAGGACTCTGAAGAAGGGAGTGGGGAATTCTAGGATGGAAGGGTACAAATGGACTGAAAGGGTAAGTACTAACCAGAGCAAAAAAATAAAGGGAAGGAGAGAAATCAACCAAATTAAGTGTGCATGAAAATAGCAAAGAAACCTGGAATTGAGTATCGTAATTAAAAAGATTTTTAAAAAAGAGAGAATGAAAGGATGAAAAGAGAAATCCACAGATACATTTATGATTATATACTTTTACACATAAAATGTACTTTAAATTTTCTTCCTTTTCTCATTTATTAAAAATAGTATGTTTTGCAGAGCAATGGTGGTGCACACCTTTAATCCCAGAAGAGGAGGCAGAGGCAGGTGGATCTCTGTGAGTTCAAGACCAGCCTGGTCTACAAAGTGAGTCCAGGACAGCCAGGGTTATTATACAGAGGAACCTTGTTTCGGGGGGGGGGGGGGGGGGGGGGAGGAGTATGTTTCCTAACATGCCAAAACACATGTACATAATTAGCCTACCTCAGTAGACTGCTTTCCACTATAAGACATTTTCTTGATGGCCACCACTTCATTAGTGCGTACATCTCGTGCCTTAAAAAGAAACAAAGAGAGAACCACTGTGAAACAGAAACCAGTAGATTGAATCTGAGACGTTATTTTTTTGAGAATAAATAAAGGTGCTTGGAACTAGTTCAGAAAACATCAAAATTATCCTTAGTGGAAAAAGAAATTACAAAAGAAATCAAACGAGAGTCTAAAGATCTAATAACAACTAAGAACTATTGAATTAGGGACTTTTGTTAAGTAGCATTTAGCTGCTCTTGTCACATACAAAAGTCACTGTGTAAAGGGAATACGGTTAGGGTTAGGGAGCTAGAAAGACAGCTTGGTGGTTAAGAGTGCTTGGGACTGTGGTTCAGTTCCCAGCATCAATATTAAGTGGCACACAAATACTTGTAACTACAGTTCCAGGAATATAATGCAATCTTCTGGCTTCTGCAGACATCTACATAAAGGTATCTCTGTGTCTGTCTCTCTCTCTCTAAAGCATACACATTTTTTTTTAGAAAATATTTTTTGAATATACGTTTCTTTAATTTATAAAACAACAACACAAGGGCTGCATAGGTAGGTGGCAGTGGTGAAAAGTGCTGACTGCTCTTTTGCAGGAAACAAGTTCAATTCCCAGCATCCAAAATGGCAGCTGACAACCATCTGTAACCTCAATTCCATGAGAGCCACACCTCTTCTGGCCTCCGCAGGTCCCACTCACATATGTGGTGTACGTAAATGCATACACAGAAAATAAAATAAATAAAACAAAACAAGGTGGACTACTCCTGAGGTAGTCCTCTGGTCTTTACACATAAAGAAGCACCTGAACATATCCACACATAGGGTTGGGGGTGGGTATCTTTCAGTATGTAAAAAGGAAGAAAAGTTGTCTCGTAAGAAAGCAGTATGACCCTACAACTAAAACTGAGTAAGTTACACACCAATTTATAAATACAGACAGAAAGACTCTGAAATTAAACTAACTTTTATAGGACACAGGCATGTCGATATGACTCAGTAGGTAAGTCATTTGCTACGAAGTATGGATGGTGACCTGGATTCCATCCCTGAGACCCACACCTAATGGAAAGAGAAAACAGACTCCTCCTGCAAGTTGTCCTCTGACTTCCATGGCCCTTCTCCAACAAAATAAACATAAAAAAAGTACGCTTAGCCTGAATTTTGTGTGATATAAAAAGAATTATCATGATGAAGTATTAACTCAGGACTTGATATTGGAAAAATACTCCATAATACATATTTTGTCTTGTGTTGAGACCAGGTCTTTATGATCATGGCTGGCTTTACCCTAGTACAGATGGTATACATCTTTACTGTCACTCTTATTTCCTTTACTCACCTTCTCTAAGACAAAATGTACTTTTAACAAAATATTTCAAAGTTCAAGACTAATGATGTTGAACATCTTTGATTTTAATTCAAATATTTCTAATATTCATTTTCTTAATTAGAGATAAGGTCTCATTATGCAGCCCAGGCTGTCCTGGAACTCTCTACATAGATCAGGCTGACCCAGAATCAGAGATTCATTTGCCTCCTACTCTTGAGTGCTAATATTAAAAGTGTCTGCCTCCTAATACACCTTTAAAACAATAAAAATAGCAAAAACAGGTAAGTAATGGTTTAAAACCATCCTGATCCATACCGTGAGATACAGGAAAGCCAGGGCTACAAAGAAAGACCCTGCCTAAACAAACCAAAACATGTTTAATATTAGTGGTTATTAGGAAAATGAAATTAAAACCACTCCACAAAGGGCGTGGAGAGATGGCTCAAGGGTTAAGAGCACTGGCTGCTCTTCCAGAGGTCCTGAGTTCAATTCCTAGGAACCACATGGTGGTTCACAACCATCTATAATGAGATCCGATGCTGTCTTCTGGTGTGCAGGTGTATATGCAGACAGAACATTGTATACATAATAAAGAAATCTAAAAAAAAAAAAAAAAAACCAACACTCCACAACAGTAAGGATAGATATAATCAAAATATCAGAATAACAGGCATTGTCACAAAGATTTAAAAAAAAAAGTCTTTACTGCTGGTGGGAATGGAAACAGTAGCTGTTGTGCTCGCCATCAGATTATTCCTCGAAATGTTAAACACAGAACTGTCATAGGTTATTTGCAATTCCACTCCTAGGATACATACTCAAAACTAAAAGCCGACTTGGTGCTCAAAATACCATATTCCAAGGAATGACCATTTATATCAACTGTTTAAATACTTTGAACTAAAGCATAGGCTCTGAAACTTGGTTTTTCTAACCTATGATGATTCTGTCTTCCTCCTCTCTTTCTTACCTGGATTTTTCTAAAAATCTGAAATCGCATGCCATTCTTACTAACATAGTCCATCTGGCTGGGACACAAATCATTCTTTTGTCCAGCAAATCTATGATACATTCTCTCCCCACCCATAAGTGACTTAGTAGCATAGCATCTTGCTGACTTTTTGTGATTTAAGTCCTTATGTTCAAATAATAATTAATTTACATAATAACAGCACCAAAATATAAGAGGCATGAGATAAGGACAATCCTGACATGCCAAAGAGGAAAATGTTTCCTTCAAGGAAAAAAATATGAAAATAAGCCAAGCATGGTAGTTCATGCTTTGAGCATTTGAGAGACAAAAGCAGGCAGATCTCCAGTTTGAGGCCAGCCTGATCTATACTCAAAGTTCCAGGGCAGCCAGGGCTACACGGAGAAATCCTGTCAACAACAAAGTAACAATAGGGGTTGGGAAGATGGCTCACTGGTCATATTGCCTACAACATGAGAAATTATAAGGCATGGAGGGAAGAACAGAGTATGGATCCCTAGAAAGCCAATACGACACTGGGTAGATTTAATGGTCCACTTATAATTCCAACCCTGAAAAGGAGGCAGGATTGCTGGGACAAGCTGGCTAACAAGAATTGCCATGAAAAGTGAGCTCTGGGTACACCCTGCATAGAAAAGTAATGAAGAGTGATCTAGGATGATCCCCAACATGCTGAGGATATCCATATTCACACACAGTTAAAAACATGCACCGCACACATACATACACTCATACACACACAACAGGAAAAGAAAAATGGGAAGCTGGCGTGGTAGCGCACACTTTTAGTCCTAGCACTCCGGGAGGCAGAGGCAGGTGGATCACTGTGAGTTCAAGGCTGACCTGGTCTACAAATTGAGTCCAGGACAGCCAGCGCTTGATACACATAGAAACCAAAAGAAAACCAAAAGAAAGAAAAAGAAAAATGTGATAATGAAAATTATAACTTGGGGGTTGGAGAGATAAATACATGGATAAGAACGTTTACTGCTCTTGTAAAACTCAGGTTGGTTCCCAGCACCCATACCAAATGGCTTACAACAAAGTAGAGTTCTAGTTCCAGAGGATCTGATGTCCTCTTCTGGCCTGCATGGACATCTGCACGCACACTGTACACATAAATTCATGAAAAAGAGCATGTGCACAACAATAGATTATGTTGGTGCTCGAAAAATCTACAGAAAGAGCGGTATTTCTATTTGTAAAATTGTAAAGAAGGAAAGTAAAAGTACGCTAGTGTTGTTACCACACCTCAAATTACAAAAATTGTGGCCACAAAACATAGGAAGTATTTATTTAGCTAAGACATTACATTAGAAGGTTCAGTCTCATACTTCAGTTTCAAGTATGAGAAAAGAAATTCTAGGACAGATGAACGCTGTATAGGGAAGTTTTACACTTATCTTTTCCCTCAGAAGGTTCAATAATTTTAGTCTACAAAACGAACTAATAAAAGAGAAAAGGACGAGGGAACAAAACATATAAATTATTAATGTCCACAAACACAAGAGCCACACACAAAAACAGGAAAACTCAATAGAGTGGCCTTAATATAGCATTCAGCATTACAGAATGAGGGTCCTGAAGCTTCTGAGGAAGATGACAGCAAGCAGGCTATGCGAGGCTCCAGTAAAACAACAAAGCAAGACTATCTATTCTAATAAGCGGACAGTCTTCCAAGGATGGCATTCCTGTGTCTATAGAATAACTAACACAAACCTTGCCAAAAGATATATTTAGGGAGGTATATTTTTATTTCCTAAACTCTTATCTTGGTAAAATATTTGGAATTTTGTCCTTGGTTACAAGCAACCTCCAGAACAACTACATGAATAAAGAGCCTTTTCTATTTATAGCAAACTTCCTTTACCCACACCTAAAGTGTTTTGAGGAAAGTGCCTAGATAATCACAGGATTGGAAGGAAGGATGGTTCTCAGGGAAAACAATCCTGTGCCAGAGAATTGGAACTAGTATTACACACCCAACTCTTACCTTGGAGAAAGAAAAGCAGCTGAAGGTCAGACTAATCACCAATAGCCAATAACTTAATAAACACCTTATGTAATAAGTAACAACCTCAAAGAACGTGGGTTCTGTGAGGAAGATGAGAACACACATCCAATGGCCGAGAAAATGACAGACCTTAACTCCATGTGGACAGAAGCACCTGTTCCAAACACCATACTAGGCCTCAGTCTATAGATCACTGGAGTGTTATTTAAAATAAAATCTTAAACAGATTTCACTTAATGCTTTAAAAACTTAATTATACCCAAGGAAAAGGTTGGAGGATCCCAATTCCATAGTTAATGGAAGTACAGCTTGCAGCTTTCACCTGGCATCTCAAAGTGGGAGCCATTTTTATAGGACTGGACCTAGATGACAGTATATGTAGGTAGTTTTGAAACAGAACTGAATTAGAGAACATCCAAGTGATGTCAGCCGAAAAAAGTCATTGCTTGCATAGTGCATGTTTGATACATGTGGTGTAAAAAGCAGTGAGAGAGCAGGGTTTGTTTTCCTACTCAGCAAATTCTTAATCTCTTTAACATTTTTCACTCTAACATCACTGACATCAAGTCTTTAACTCACAAAATATACTGCTCCAAAGCTCCCATGGCCGATTTCTCTGAGGTCTGTGAAGAGCTTTTCCGGGTCTTCTTTGAAGAAGAGCTCTGCAATTTCAGGGTCCTTTAGACTGCCTGCTCTGTTAGTTGATGGCATCCTGCTGAGCAGTCAGCTGTCTGATTCTAATTTTATACTGCTATCCCAATGCTTGGTTCATCTGTATGAATGAAGCCACGCTGGCATCAACTAAGAAAATAAAGAAAAAAGAATTAACAATAATTAAAAGATCATTTACAGCCATTATCTACAAAATTATATTAGGTCTAGAATGTTAGAAAACAATGCAGTTTTCTACTGCATTAGTTCCTAGGCTTCATCATAATCACCTGTAGCACTTTAAAAGCAAAGTGTTCTCTACAACACAGTCCATTTAAATGTTAGCTGTACCTTTAAAACTTAAATTACCCAACTGTGACAAAGCTAGCTGAAGAAACAATTACCAGACTGAAAAACATACACAAAAACCCATTAGATGTGGTGGCACAGACCTTTAATCCCAGCAATTGGGAGGCAGGGGCAGGCGGATCTCTGTAAGTTTGAGGCCGGCCAGGGCTACCACTAAGCTATGTTCTTGTTTTTCAAGACAGGGTTTGTCTCTGTAGCCTTGGCTGTCCTGGACTAGAACCCACAGAAATCCACCTGCCTCTGCCTCCCTGGGTGCTGGGATCAACTAAAGGCGTGCGCCACCATGCCCAGGTTTGTTTCGGTTTTTTTTAATAATTTATTTGTATTTTATGTGCACTGGTGTTTTGCCTACATCTGTGTATGTGTAAGGATGTCAGATCCCGTGAAAATGGAGTTACATTTTTAAAACTGCCATGTGGTGCTGGGAACTAAACCCAGGTCCTCTGGGAGAACAGCCAGTGTTCTTAACCACTGATCCATCTTGCCAGACCCCCTGAGGCATATTCTTAATAAACAAAACAAAGTACTAGAGAGATAGCTCACTAATTAAGTACATGCACTACTCTTCCAGAGGACCTGCACAGATTCCTACTATCCACGATGGGCAACTTACAACTGCCTTAATCTTATCTTTGGGGACCTGATAGCCTCTTCTGGTATGCACACAGGTGCATACACACACACCCCACACACATATATACATGTAATTTAAAAAGTAACAAAATAAAAATTAACACCCCACACACATACACACACAATCTTAATAGCACAAAATGTACTTGGTTTTGTTTTTAAAAAAAAAAAAAAACAAACAAACAGGAATCAGGGGTGGAGAGATGTCTCAGAGGTCAAGAGCACTGGCTGCTCTTCCAGAGGTCCTGAGTTCAATTCCCAGCAACCACATGGTGGCTCACGACCATCTATAAGATATGGTGCCCTCTTCTGGCGTGCAGGTGTACATGCAGACAGAATACTATACATAATAAACAAATCCTAAAAAAAAAAAAAAAACAGGAACCAATGACTTTTATATATGAGAATACACAAAAAAATAATTCAGACACTATATCACAGTGCATTAATCGAATCTAACATGTCCCAAAGAAATGGAGAATGGGGAGTAAAAGGGTTTGTTCCTCAAGTTTGATAACCATAGTTCAATCCCAGAAACCTAGGAAAAGCCAGATACAGAAGCTTCTAAGTAGTTCTACAAGGTAAGAGAAGCAGCTCTCAAAAGCTGTCCTCAGACCTTCCCATATGTGTCATAGCAGTACATGCTCACAATCATATGTATATCTATTTCTCTCCCATACAGAGACACACATAAATTAAAATTAAAAAAGAAAAATGCAGAAAAGGTTTGATTTTAACATAAACAACTGATTTCCCATAAATGTAATATACCTGATTAACACCATAAAATATGGCTGTTATTATTTGACTCTTCCATAAGTAAACTTAGAAAAAGGACAGTATATTTCTTGGTGGTGCTGCTACCAATTCCTTTCTATCATGATTAGCTAATGCTTAAAAAATGGATGTCAAAATTGAGAACCATAAGGACCTGGGTTCTGGAATAAAACTGGCTGGATATAAATCCCAACAGTATTCATAAACTGTGAGTTCATAAGCTGTCTCTTTTCCCTAAATTATAAAACAAAAAAACCTACTTTATACAGTACTTAGAAGAGTTAAATGAGCTTCCACATGTACGCTCAGACTCCTTCTATACCATAGTTAAAGATTATAACAAATGTCAGCTATTTTCTTTTAAATGAATTTCAGGCATTAAAAAAAAAATCTTTCACATTTCATTAACCTTCTATGAAGGAAAAGAGCCATCCAATTCTTTCTATGCCCTTCATATGACTTCTAAGCCGATCTCCTTTTAAAAAGTTTATTTTCTAAGTTTTATGTGTAAGTGCATTTTGCCTGATGTACGTACATGCACCACAAGCATGCCTGTGCCCAAAGAGGTCAGAAGAGGGCATCTAACCCTTAGAACTGGAGTTGTGGATGATTGGGAGACACAATACTGAGAATCAATACTTTAAAACATTGAGCCATTTCTCCAGCCCCCAAAAGAATCAACTTTAATTCTTGCCAGAAAACTTAGTTGTGAGTATATTAAAACACACCTCTTTTGTATCTCACTGTAGCAATACCACACTGCAATAAATGCTTCATTAAATATATTTATGTTTGTTTATCATATATCATATCATATAAATGTACTATATAATTATGTTACAAATTATGTGTTATAATTTCATATTATATAATCATAATATAAATGTTATTTATATTATTGAATATACTAAATAAATTTATTAACTATATATATATATACACATACATATAATTAATTTGAACCCTGTTTTTTTTTTCCTACTTTTTCTTTTTACTTTTTTTTTTTTTCAAAGACATGATCTTGCTATATGACCCAGACATCTCAAACTTGTGGCAATTCTCATAACTCAGTCTTCTGAGCAGTAAGGTTATATAGACAAGTACCCAAATCTAGCTTTAATATACACCGAAAGCCAGTTGTATTGCATATTCCTATAATTTCAGCACTCAGAAGGTGAGGACAAGAAGATAAAGAGTTCTAGCTCACCCCCAGTTATAGAGTGTAAGTCTGAGGCCACCAATACCAAACCACACATACAATCTTTTTTGTTAAGACAGAGTCTACCTGTATAGCCTGAGGTGGCCTAAAACTTGCTCTGTAGAGCTGATTGACCTCGCTCTCACAGATCTGTCTACCAAATACTGAAATTACAATCTTCTTCTAAAAAGACTACATGAAGCTGGAGGGATGGTTCAGAGATCAAGAGTATATACTACTCTAGCAGAAGACCTTAGTTCTGCTCCAACACCCATATCAGGTGATTCACAAACACCTGTTAACTCCAGTTCCAGAGTATCTGACACCTTCTGGCTTCCATGGGCTCCTGAATATGAGGTTCACAGATCCTCACACAGGCTCACACATAAACATACAAATAAATGTTTTAACACTATATAACCTACTTTTAAAATCCCAAATATGAGTGTTTACAATTAAATAACATTTACATTTCCCTAAGACACTTAGGTAATTAACAAGATAAGCTAAAAGCAACAGAAGATACTCAGACCACATTCAGTATTAATTGAGGAATGCTTCTTAAATTAACAGTAATGATGTCAAAGTATTTCATCTTTTATAAATCTACAATTTTTTTGTAAAAGGAACAATACTGGCCCTAAGCAACTGATTTAATATTATTAAACCCTGTCAATCCAAAGATTCAGGTCGGGGAGCCAGGCAGTGGTGGGGCACATCTTTAATCCCAGCACTTAGGAGGCAGAGGCAGGGGTATCTCTGTGAGTTCGAGGCCAATCTGGTCTACAAAGTGAGTTCCAGACAGCCAAGGGTACACAGAGAAACCCTGTCTTGAAAAAAAAAATTTTTTTTTTAATTCAACAAGTTTAGTGGCTGAGGACATGGCTCAAAAGGGAAGAGAATTTGGCCTGAAAGCATGAAACCCCCAGCATCCCCAGCAATGATGTAAAAGGCCAGGCATGTCTGCATATGTCTATAACCCCAGCACTGTGAGGATCAGAAACAGGAAGATCACTGAGGCTTACTGGCTCGTAGCCTCCTATCCTAAAAAACAGGAAGCTCCAGGATTACAGTCCTTGTCTCAAAGTATAAGGCAAAGAGCCACAGAGGAAGACAGACACCTGATGGTCCCCTCTGGCTCCCACTTTCATTTATACAAGTGTATGCACATCACACACACAAAGGAGAAAACTTGGACTACCATGGAAAAACTTTGTATTTAAAAAAAAAAAAAAAAAGGAGGAGACTATGAAAATATGAACAATCTGGCTCACAATAGCAGTTGGGAGGATGAGCACTGCCTCCAGTTTCAGGCCACCTAGGCTACAGAATGAGTCTGTCTCCAAAATAAAGTTACATGAGCCAGATATGGTGGCACACACCTTTAATCCCAGCACAATGGAGGCAGGTGGATCTCTATGAGTTCAAGGCCAGAGTGATCTACAAAGTAAGTTTCAGGACTACACAGTAAATCCGTCTGAAAAAAACAAAACAGTGATATACTGGGACTATTGATGAAGCCTGTAATCACAGCCCATCCTAATGTCAAGGCACAAGAATTACAAGTTCAATAACCCTGTCTCAAAAACAAAGAAACATGAAGGGGAACACAGAGGGAACAGCTCAGTGGTAGGACTCTTGCTTAGTATGTGAAGGCCTACATTTAATTCTCAGTACCACAAAAGTAAGTTACAATACTAACATTCTTATGAATTCATCAATTTTTCTGTATTTTTAGTGTTAAGTGTTTTACTGTTAAATTTCAAACCTGAGACAAGAAGCTGAGGCGCCTATTTAACATATCAAGCTGACCTAGCCCCCAGCTTCTCCCCCGATTCCTCAGTCCCTACCTGTTTCAGGTTATGGCTGCCATAACCCACCCTCAACCCTGAATTCTCCCCCAGGGAATGTTCCCTACCTAATCCTGACATTTTGGTTACCTACCCTTCCCTTTTTTTCGTTTGGCCCCCTGGCTGCTGTACTTGAATCTGCTCTCTCCCTTTCCCTTCTCCTCTCTCCATATGGTCCAGGGTCATGACCACTCTGGACTCTCCCAAATGTACCTGATTCTGGCTATGCTTTCCCACATACCTATAAAAAAACTTTCTCCTCTACCATATCTAAGTGCAGTAATATCCTTTCTTTTCCTTTTTATTTTCTTTTTTTCATTCAA